AATTACCATCACTGACCATATACACAAGAGCCAGGGTCTCCCTTCTTTCACCGTGTTTGCTCGAGCGTGGGCCGAGAATAATAGCTGAAAAGCGGGCTGAGGATCTCAATTTTTATGGCGTGTTTTAACGCGTCCCAGCGTGAAGGGGTTAATGTGAGCATGGTCAAAATGCTCACCCTCTCAAAAAAAAATAGAACAAGGCTGATATTTTTGCAGCTTTCAAGCAGCTAAATAGTCTCACTATTAAACTCTACCCAATGCAAACATCATTTGTTAACCACTCTGTACCAGACACCAAATGATGAGTTAAAGCTTTGGATGACATCTTAATACACCAATCTTACACACACAAAGTTTGACAAGTCTGCGGAGGTGGACCATATGTTGAACCTAAACTTGGCCTCTGTGTACAACCTGTTGTGGTAGCAAATTTGATTCTTTGAGCACACCCCAGAGTCTTTAATAATAATGAGACTGCAGTAAATTGTATAAATACTGTTAAAATGACTCTGGTGAATCTATTTGTGGCATCTGGCTGCATATCAAAAAATGGCAGCCATATCAAGCCTTTTCCTTTTTCTGAAATTTTCAATTTTCAAATATAATATCCGGTATGTTGGCAAGAGGTTAAGAGAGGGTGTAACTTCACACAGATGAAGTTGATACATGTCTCTGGCTGCTTTCAGAGTGAAAAGAAAAAGCGGTAGTTGATATCGAGCAGGTTACATTTCCGAGGGAGCTTACCGCACTGATGTCATACTTCTTAACCTGTTTCAGGATCTGCTCTCCAGCGACATCCAAGTCCCAAAAGACATCAGGGTTGTCCTGCAATTTCCTACAAAATAAAAAAATCAAGATGTACATGATTGATTTATTTATTGATTTACATTCAGTAAATGTCCAAAGCCTAGACAGAATCTCCTCAATAACAATGACATGATTTGCAGGTTAGAGCAAATGTTACTTCAGTTTGTTGAATAAATTACAATTCAAAATTCAAAAACAGAAATCAATAAACAACATTTCAACATCAGACAACTGAGTGAATATCAGGACTTTTGTGTTCCACGAGCATACTGGGCCAAGTACACATATTGACTCTCCAAACATTAAATGCACTATGGGGCAGTGATGGGCATATGCAGGTGTGGAAAACCAATAAAGTTGAACAGCTGCACCTTGAGTTGCTCAGTGTCCAACCATGTCTCTACCAACTTCCATAATGTCAGGTTTTCTAACTGGCCACACTCCCATGTACATGTACAATAACTGACTACTACATTGTGCAAAGAACAGATCATATCATATTCACACACAAGGCATACTAAATTGAAAAAATACACAAGAGTCAAAAAAAGTGCCCACACAAATATGAGGACAAAGAAGAATGTCTTACTCATCGTTTAGCAAAGTGATATTGTCTGACTTGGCTATTCCCAGGATATTGCAGCTAGCTATCAATTCCTTCTCTCTGACAGCTCCAAGGTTGTTATAATTTCCTGAAAAAGAAAAGAGGGAAACATGATGCAAATTTTCAACATTTTTCTACATCCACAAAATCATGAAAAATTTACAATTACAGATTATTTCACTTATTTTTGTAATAGTTAACTAATAAAGGCTATTAAGATGTGCGCTGGAGACCATTAAAAAAAAGGAGAGAATGAAGTTCAAGCTATAGAAGGTATCGGTGCATGTGTGTGGTCACATTTTGTTTGACTTGTGGACGACTTGATGGGCAAGGAAGGCAAGACTTGGTAGGATTCAGACAGCGGAAGTACAAGTGGGACAAACCGTGATGAATATTTCAAGTCTCAAAATAAGGAACAGCACATGAATCAGTGCAATTTCTACATGTTGGTAAAGAAATTGAACAATACGTGATTTAATTATCTACATTTTAACAGACAAGTAGGGCTTCCCTATCTAACGATGAACGCATAATTTTTTTTTTCTTTTTTACAGCTTGTTTAGGAAATGATGCTGGCCCTGAGAAGCAGTGCTGGGCCAACCCATATTGGATATTGCCACCCTAGGGCCAAGCCTAGGCCAACCATCAGGTACAAGCAGCGTTTGGATTCCAACACCAATTGCTCCTGATACACTTCACATCTGAGACGATCTACTGTTGTTTACTTCACACAGTTTTTATGTTTATTTCAGTCACAGCAATTATTATCATTTGAAAATTTTTGCATTTCATTTTCTGATTTTTTTTTCCAGTCACTGGTCATGTTTCCTCAGTTCAGGCTTCACTTCGAGTAGAATGTTGACCAAATTTTATTCAAAGTTAATGCAATTTTAACACAAGTTAAGTCTTTTAGTTTAATGACACTTTACACACTGCATTTCTCACTTATTTCGTTTTGGTCTTCACTGTTTTTTTTCAAATCTCAGGATTTACTACTGCTGTCCCATACTTTTGTTAGATTAAATAAAAGATTGTCCGAAAGCGTCTCCCCCATGGGAGCGCGCAGTAGTGCCCTGTCATGATTCATGCATTATAATTGCGCAATCATTCCATGTCGAATCACACTGCTCCTGAAATTCCCTGAAATTCTTTAATATACTCCTAATCGCCCAGTACCTTAATAAGCCAGTTACCAGGTTGATCATAAATATTCCTCTGCATGGATTACATAAAGTGAGTACATTTTGGTTGATCTAAATACGATATTTGGGGGGATTTCTTGAGTTATAATCGTTGGATTGGGGTGTAATGCATATCGTATTATGTTCATGTCAGAATTAAACATGTGCATGTGTACACTCACAAGCACAGGGGTATATATTTTCATAATTAGACTTAATTGGTTTTTTGGTGGTAAATTTAGAATCAGGTAATAATTGTTTAGGAGTGTTCCTTGTGTGTTTGGCCTTTATCCAGGTTCATATGAACAAGTTTTTGCTAGGTCAACTATGGATATGATTACACATAATTCATAAGTGTTTATGTTAATGTTTATGATAATATTAAGTGTTATAGGTCTGTGTACATATTTATTACTTTTTTCATAATCATTCTGTTTTGTAGCCCACAGGGTAAATAAACAATCAAGCCCATTACCAGTTAGGCCACCACTCCATTTCAAGATATTGAGTATTTGGAACTATAAGCAAATTGATCATACTGAAATAAACCCGACAGCTCACACAATGTGACTATAGTATGTTTTGTGGAGTGATTGAAAGGTGCCATCTGACACACAAGTAAACATACAAGAGGGTGTTGCAGGGAGAAGTACAAGTGCATATTGCATTGGTGTTTAGTGTGACCTTGCCAATGTTTTCTAATCTTTGACAGAGTTACTCTCTGACCCAGACAAGGGCGAGAACTTTACTGAACCTGTTCCCAACTTTCTATATGGTCTGAATACAGACATGATCACCTTTAGACCCTTTAAGCGGAATGCATGTGGTATAAAGATACATGAATATTGTGCTTCTTTCATGGCAATAGTTATAAGGTACCATTTTTGGGTGCAAAACTGGTATATTTCATTTCTGAGTGAATTTTTTAAAAATCTAGAAACCTAGAGGATTTACACTACTATGCCTAACAGGCAAGATTAACATTTTCTCCTGTACTATTAACACAAGTTGTTGCTTGCAATGTTGGGTTACATCAAAGATCCTTTGAGCTAAAAGTTGGAAAACATAAAATTTGCATGGTCACCTGATAAATATTTCCAAACATAATTTCAATAAGCAACTACTGTACCATACGAGAACTATTTTTACCATATATTCTCAACTTTCATCCCTCCCAAGTGAAAAAAGCACACACAACTCACACCAGAAAAACATCAATAATACTGAGAGGTGGAACTGAAGGCAGCCTGCTTCACTGAGGAACAAAGCACACGCACTTATAAATTAATGGAGGTGATCTGACGAGGCCATGTTAATCATAAGGCAGGCATAAATTATTGACTGGATGACCAAACTGCCTTGAAGCGAAGGACAGGATTTGATTCAAGGAATAAGAATTCTGCCACAGCCTTCAGACAGAATTTTGAGTGCATAACAACGGACCCAAAATTAACTTGCGACATGTCCAAAGGAAAACGTTTTCACTCTGCTTCTTGTTGTTTTGTGGTTTCGCTTTTTGTAGAGACAGTGGAAAAGATAAAAAAAAAAAAAGATACCACCATATTATGGGGACTAGACACATGTTGAAATATAAATACTGGGTGAATTTCTGTCCCTAAAACTTCGTCTGAACTTTTCCACAAAAAGCTTTTCCCCCAAACGCAGGGAAGGCTTACCCACACACGTTTACATCGCCTACCTAAGGTGAGCATTCCTTTGCTTTTGTGTAGTTCAGAAAACCTGATGAACACACTCATTTCTCTTGCACTGTGAACACACTTTTAAGCTGGGTTTTTAGTGTTTCCTTGACTCTTCCTCTTGGTACAAATAAGCATACACCCATAATGTTTAGAAAACTGCCTTCCAATCCTTGTGTGGACCTGCTTTAGTCCACACAGGGTTCTTGCAGCCTGCGTTACAAGGACCTCAGTGAGAGTTTCATACACAGACATCACTGTTTCCTATAGCGGTACATGAGCCATCAGAAAGTGATAGCATGTCCTAAAAAGAAGCTAAGACAGCAGGGACAATATTAAAGCATTTAGAAAATACTTCTCTCAGACCAGTCTCTTGGGGTTTTGTGCACAGGGTAGCAAGTGATGTCCATGTGTGAAACTCTTTCCGTGGATCTCTCTTGTTCATAAGTCCACATACATTGTACGCTCTGGTACATGTACATGTAAGCACTGTTCAGTGTAGGCTGACATATGCCGGTACATGAATTTACATGTATCTGTAGGTATGGTTGATTAGTTTGAAGAAGATTACACTCTATACAGGGAATAAACGTACATAATGAAATGTCTGCAATTAACAGTGGAAATCTGTACCAATATCGCAAGACATATTTCCAATATTTTTGCATAATCAAGACTACAGGCAAACTCTAGCCGTGTTTCCATTTCAAGTTCACCTGTTACTAGCCCAGGGTGGCCTCCACAAGCTTAATGAGCCATGATGCAAATCAACCAAGTACTTGTACTAGTAGATTGTATCGTAATTTTCTAACCATGAAAAATAATGAGAGTCCACGGCAAGGAATAAGCGCACAGTAATTTCTAGACCAGGTCCTTAAAACCCCAACAAGGTAAAAGTTGTTCATGACACCACTGGAGGTGCTTCAATTATCTTTTCATGACATTGGCGACTTTTCAACACGCTTGACTCCAGTAAAGGAGGCAAGTCACACTTGAAGTGTTTCCTCCACACATAAATTTCAGCAAGTGTCTAAAATCATGTTACATACATGTACATGTACATGTACTTGAATAGGCAGGCGGGTAGGCTACACTCTAAGTGTAGCACTGGACCACTTCATGCTCTCATAAAGTTGTCATTCCGTTTTGCAGTCAAAAATGGACAACGCAAAACCCTACCAATCGGTCGATACAAACATCAAAATAGAGATTTTATTTGAAAACAGAAATCACCCTGTGGTTTCATATATGGGTCATTCCATGAGGTTGGGGCACAATTTGTGATGGTGTCCATTGTTACGTGGGTTCTATAAAAATGAACAGCTATTTCCCTGCATGTGGATTCCAAATTATACATTTTGCAAGGCTGAAGACAGAGGTGTGTGTTACATTTACAGAGTAAATGATCTACAGGTCATGACAGGTGGTAAAAGTTACCCATGTAACAAGGACACTATCACAAATTGTGCCCCAACCTCATGGAAAGATCCATCTACATTTTCATGATAGCATCCATGCTGATACACACAACAAATAGGTTATAAAGTATCCAAATTGTGAGGAAAACATATGTAATTTTTAACCATCGTGCAAGCTGGGAAAGACCGGTAATGCAGCAGTACTTTACAGACTCCAACTACAGCGTTTTGTGCCCACTACCAGATGAATGACTTAGCAGGATGGAATTGAACGTTCAAGCACCACTTGAAGTTTGAAAGCATGAGGTACCGGGATACTGCAGTTTCTTCTCAGCATTCTCTTAAAAAATTGTTGTTTCTAAACTTAAGTTTTTTTAGTAATCAAGTACTGTTGTAAAATACTATGTGTTCAAAGCCTACTAAAACATACCTTACCAAGATAAATCTTAATGCTTAATATTCTTACTTATCTGCAACAATGATAAATACATATTGTACAATGTGTATACGTGCATTTTAAGCACACAAGTTTATCCAAACAAGTAACTACGTGTACATGTACGAGCACTGCAGTCCAAGTGTGTAAAAAATCATAACATCCAGGGAGATTTCTGACTTTATTCTCTGTTTGGATTACTCTAATGAGACACTAAAGAATTAAGTGAGTAATGCCTTCAAAAGATAATATTTCAAATGAATGTACATATAACTACCTGGTAGTGGTTTCAGAAACACAGCAATATTTAGTGAAAACAATATTTAATATTTGTATGAGTACATGGGTCATTTTATAAATTTGGGGTCCAAAAGTGTGACATTTTGGTGTCCCTGTTACATCTGACCTTTGTTATTTGACATGGAAATAGCAGTGAAATTGATTTCCAACTATTACTATTTGTTTGGCAGGTCACTTTGCATTAATTCACCACTCTTGGAAATTACAACATTTGTTCCGAACTTACGAACTCGTAAATGTATGTCAGATGTGACACAGTCACAAACAAAAATGGACCCCTAATTTATAGAATGACCCATTTGTGGAATTCAAAATACTTCAAAAAGGTTTCCAAATAATGATTAGGTCATGTTTATGGCACTGCACCAGTATCACATAAACTTGTACAAGAGCAATAATGCATGCAGCTTACTTGCCAAGAAAAATGGTTCAGCTCACAAATAATGTTCCATAACTGTATCAACCATCATTCCAATGTTTCTACACTGAGAGTGTGAATTAAACATTTCCATGGTTGTATGGACAACCTCAGTACAAATGCTGGTGATTCTGTTGGTATTTGGCTATTACAGCTTTGGAAAAACCTCTTGTTCCGTTTGGCTCCACTGGACGCAAACCATCTACTCTCACAAGTGTAAACAAAAGTTGCAGTTGAATCTTTTCAAAGTGAGCTGTACGGAACAATTCAAAAGAATGCAGGGATTAAATATTAAAAAAAGGGGAAACTTACCGGTACATGTACACTCTACATATACATGCACTTGTAGGTTTACTATAACCAGAAACCATGTTTTATTTTTACATACCAATTATATATAATATACGTAAAGACTTTCCTTGGTCACGGACAACCAATCACAAACCAAGTGTTGCCTTGGTTACTATTACTTGTAAAGTATTACAATGAAACCACTCAAGTCTGTGATCTATAATGAGTGTCCATGGAAACAATTTTCTTGCAGAGTACGGTGTATATAAATATGACAAGGATCCAATGCAGATTTTATGAGAGCTACATGTACACAGAGGTACAGTGTGCATTCACATGTACTGCAAAACAATATCACTGATTACCTCTTACACAAACGGCAGTACAATTTATGTTTATTAAGTTATCAAGTTATGGCAGGTGTTATCCTGAAACTACACGTAGGCTTGATTTTTCTGGCTGTGAGTTCAAAAGCCAACTTGTTTGCAAACACTCTGCAAGAGCAAGACAAGCCAGCGTACCACTGTGGGACTTTCAAAGCTGGAGCCTGCTCGGATGGCTGGAAGGCGTGGGGGAGGTTCTGCTACAAAGCCCTCTACGGAATCTTCAGCTGGCAGGCCGCGACCACCACAGTGTGCACCCAGATCGGTGGCTGGCTGGCCGTGCCCAACATGCCTGAGGAGAATGCCTTCATACTGAGCATGTCTGCGTACGGCGCTGAGGGAGTCTGGATCAACTGCACAGACATGGAGGCGGAAGGAATCTGGAGATGTCTGGAGAGAGGAAGTGAGATAACCTATCGCTCCTGGGGAGTCGGTGAGCCTAACAATGCTGCTGGCAAGGAGGACTGTGCAGTAATGGAGCATGACGGGTACTGGCACGATGTTTACTGTGATTACAAACACTACTCTGTTGTATGTAAGCGTCCAGCTCCGAGCGTACTGTTAACCATGGACTAATGCAGCTTCACATTAAGGATGATCCCAAAAACATACTCAGACAACTCAGGAGTTCAATGGATACTTTCCAATATTTTCAATGAAAACTATGAAATTCTGTTTCCGACATCAACTACCGGTATACCTCACCCTCCACATACCGTACACACAGTCCGTGCACGATGGAGATTTTGGTCTAAAGTACCAGCAGAGCTACAGCCATGCCAACTATGGAAAGATCAGCTCAACAATTTACCACTGAAGACTTTAAATGAACAGAAACTGGATCTTGAAGTCAAGGGAGAGGGCAGAATCTTTGAGCCATCAACAGCATGCCACATTGTTGGAAACTGAGCGATACTTCAACTACCTACTTAGGCCAGTTTTTAATTATTAGTAGTATTATTACTATCGTTTATTTGACTGTCCATAGCGGCCCACAGGCTGAATTAAGAACAGCTTAGACAAGATAATATAAAATGACAAAGGTTGTAATACCTAAATTAACATACATGTACATGCAATATTACCATAAAAATTGTCAAATAAAAAGGAGATTGCTCATAAAGAATTGAAAGAAATACAACCAAAATGGATTGCACTATCATAGCACAAAAAGCCAAATAACCTGATAAATGAAACGGACAACAAGAGGACAGAAAACACATACACCTGTACACCACCTAAAAACCAACAAACCAAAGCCTGACATCACCAACCAATAAATAGGTCTGTATATGCAAAGAAAGAGTAAAAAAAGTGGAATGGGGGATTACAATTACACCAACATATACATTGCCTATAGATTTAGATTACCTGGTGTTAAAAGTAGGAGTGGAGTACATGTAGATGAATTCAAGAGTTGAATAAAGTAAGGGATCGGGCTATTGTTGAAACGATTGGTTTGACATGAGTATTCCTCAAGTTTTCTACTAGATCTAAGATTCATTGTAAGGGTACTCTTAGATTTAGTGAACCATTAATTAAACCTGCCTGAGTTGAATGACTTAAGAGCAAACGTGGCACCTACATGTACTGTAGGTGAAATCTTCTATTTACCAATGTTTCAAGGCCTAAATCAGTTAAAGCCAGATCATATCGTGTATATAATTGACCCAGTATGGCACACTCTTTTTTGAATGGATTCTAGGTCGTCCGATTGAGTACAAATAAGCCCAGAGTGCCACAAAGGGACGGCATATTCTAAAACAGATTTGACGCAGCCCTTAGATGTATGTACACAGTAACAAGTTCATCATAAGTTAATCTGGATTTCTCTAATTTTCTGAACATAAAAAGTTTTCTATTAACTTGGGTAATTACCGGTAGTTATAAAGAATAAACTTTTCACACAAATACAACATGCACGTTATAGTGCAAAGGTACACTGAGGTGTATTTTGTCTTAAAGTAGAATTATTTGTTTGTGTATATTGTGTATCTGTGCAAAGGTGGCAGCAAAACCTTTATAGTAGGATGAAGTATATGACTAACTACCAAAGAAATGTACATTGTAGGCCAAGTTATCTATGTGTTTCTCTTGCCACTTATTACTCTTGTGCCATGGTAGGACATACAGGCAGATCTAATCTGTGATTGGGCTCATTCGAAAAAACAAAAACAACCAACCATGCCAGAGGAACTGGTACATTGTACAGGTAAATGTTAGAAATTCCCTCATTAGGCCACACACACAACAAAAATTGGTGAGTGTCCTTTTTTTGCACATCTGGGGGCAAGAGGGCTTTTTTTTTGTTCAGTTCAACATACATCATTGCTGGATTGGAAAATATTAGATAAAGAGCAGTTTCCACAATGAAATGAGTTTTATTTATCTTCTTTACGAAAGATTTTCTGACATCTAACTTCACCAAGAAGGCAATTTGGTTGAACAAATAGCTGTGATTGTGCTGGAAAAGTATTAGTTGACACAATCAAAATAGCCAAAATGTGTTCATGGGAGTTTGTACATGGCTATCTGTAAGGTTTGTAAGTAAAGGTCCGGAAGTAAAGATAGGCCTATGAATTTTTGAAGCATTTTGAAAATGGAAAAAATGAAAAAGCACCAGTGGTTAAGGAATTCTTTCCTAAATTTCCTTCAGACTTCCTCACGATGACAAAATCGGAGTGCAATCAGAAAAAGAATTATTATATTATTATCATTCAGCCATTTTGAATAGCATTGTCGATGCACCAGCAGAGGTTTTTGTCACGACAAGATGGCGACTGTGAAAGCGAGCCTGTGAGATTGAATGGGTGAAGGCAAAAAGACTGGAAAATACCANAAACAACGTGAGTGAAATCATTCAATAAATGGCGCTAAGAAAGCGGAGAGGCTAAGGATCATCTCTGTGCGCCTCCGATTATAAGAGGGTGCGCCACACTTTTTCACTACGCCGACAGGCAAGATGCGTATGCGGATGAGTGGCTAAGGATGGAGCAGTAGCGAGAGTCTGTGCCAAATTAGTGGGGCTAGTAGAGGTGTAAGGGAAGCCATAGTTATGGGATGGAAGGATTAGGTTTTAGGCCTATTAAGCATTATAGTATAGGCCTATGGGCAGGTGATGGCCTATGCGCCTAGGCCTAATTGCAACTTTCGGGGGAAAAGGAAAAAGGAACAACGGTACAACTCAAATCGAAGTGCAGTAATTCGCCAGACTGGCCAGTCAACACTGGTCAAGCTGCGCCTACTTCTGAAAACCAAAAAGTCAGAAGTTAGCAGTGCCTACCTGTTGACAAACACAAAAGATGCAACTCTGTATGTGGTTCCTTCGTCAGTTGCAAAATTGTGGGCGAAAAGAACATACATTCATCGTCTGGATGGGCTGTCACCAGCAGCACATTCTTAGCTTTACCATTCTTCTTCTCAGATTTTTTTCGGCGCAGAGACAAGTAGTATATGACGAGAGAAATAGCCGCGTAAGCAGGCAAAAAGAAATACGCCAATCCACTGCCAAGAGCGGCCATGTTGATTTTTGAAGTTCCTGCCAAATTGAATGAAAAGGTAGAGGGCGCTCCCTGCACTCTGCATGCTATGCACACAGTACAGATTTGTGTTGTGCACGTACGGGTGGCCCACTGATATATATATCAGGCATATCATAGAGTTGGATATATTATTATATCCAACTCTATGATATCAGTACGGTGGGTTACCCTGCCGCTTGGTCGGCCGGCCGGATTGGCAAGTTGCATGTGCTAGCACAGCTCAGTGGCGGGGTCGGCAACGTACGAGAATTTAGCAAAACGGCTGCTGAAAGTACATGACTGTGTGTGTGGCTTGCCAAGATCCTGGCCGTCAGCTGCAACCAGTTTCTTCAGATAGTTACTGCGCGGCCCTGTGACGGCGCTGCAAAGTTTCCAAATTTCGGGTTTGACCGGCTTCGTCCGAGCATTGGACTCGCTACGCATTGCGTTTTTAACACTATCGCCCGACCGTGTCCGAATGTCAACAGGGCGATTTGTAGAGGCCAAGTTAAGCTTGGGTTTGTTTCCTCCATGGTCTGCCTAACATGCCTACGTCTGTTTTGTACTCTGTTTTCAGACATTACGACTGGAGTTGTCCATGGTTAAACTTACCAGAAACTTTTCACAAATAATTAGTTGAAGCATGGGTCACTCTGCTGGTGTGTTCCCTCACTTGAATTTCCATTTACCCCTTTTGATTTCAACTGATTTGCTTTGTTCCTTCTCCCTTTTTGCTTTTTTCGATACCAAGTTTAAGACTTAGCCTAAAAGTACCAGTAATCAGTAACGGGGTGCCTAGATAGTAAACCCCAAGAACCCTGGGATTTGCCGTCCACTGTACTCATGGGAGCGCGGAGGAAGACAAACCCTAGAATAGAGTTCTGGGAGTACAGGCAAGGCCTGTTGGGTGTTGTTGGTGGGGTTGGAATTTTAAAAGAAAATCGGCGGGGCTTTTAGTAGCCAAGCTAAAAAGGAAGAATTACTTGCAGGCCCAAACACGCAAAGCCCCATTTCCTTCCCCCTTCCCTTTGTCCCCTCTTCTCCACTTCTCCAACCCCTTTAATTTTTATATTACATCACTTCTTTTTTTCCAATCTTGGTGGTTCTGTGCCAGGAATTCACAAACTCTTGGCCCCAGTACAACGTCCTGTATATGTTACTTCTCTGTCATCTAGATCACAAGGCCATGGGCATGGCAAGCAAGCAACATGAACTTCTAGCGACTAGTGCACGGTTTAGGCACACCTGAGCGCACCAGTTGCTTTCTGCGAGAAGCAAGGGCTCCTAGCAAGAGCCCAGACCTGCGCTCTGTGCCCCTCATGAACCTTGCAAAGGCTCACAGTAGAACAGGGTCATGTTGCGAGGCTGAAACAAAAAGTGTTGCCGGTTCAAGTAGAAAATTCAATTAGGAAAGGTTCTTGGTTTTCATCTCAGAATTGCTCAGATTATAGTAGGGCCAGAAGAATGTTAGGCACTGTGGCAGTTAAGCAATCCAAAGTTGTTCCAGTTCTGTGAATCCCCTCGGGATAACTCATGTATGGATCCATCTGATGGCTCGACAGAGCTGCAGAGTTTTTAGTATTCAACGTAATTGAAGAGTGACAAGTCACCACACCAGTTTTACACTTTTTTCCCAAGCTTTGCTGTTTGAATCTTCCCCCAAATTATTTCTGCAAATCCCAGGATGTGTGTTTACGAAGAACAAAGCCCTATTGTGGACTTGGTTTTTGTTCTTTTTGGTTTGGGGGTTTGTTTAAGTTTCTTATGCAGGGGATACTAAAAGTAAAATTTTGTCCTTTGAACACAGACGATACTTGCAACGGACATGGCAAGCCATGTTCATGCTTCGGTAGGCCGAGTACCATTGATCACTCGTCTTTTACAAGCCACAGTTAGGCCTACATGCAGGTTCATCAAAACAGGTGTTTCCATGTCCAGTCTTGCATCTAGAGGTCGACGCTCTCACACAACTAACCATAACCACTCAGGCATCTGCTACACTCAATTTCCACAGGTACAAACTGAAATGATACACACGCAGATGAAAAAATATGCAATATTGATAACCGCTTGAAAGGGGCCTGCGGTGACTTTGGCATTTAGCAAAAGATCTTGCCCCTATTATATTGAAATATAAAGGAACACTTGTGTTTTGGGGTTTCTTTTGAAGGTCAGAAATGTTTGGAATATTCCACAAGTTCCGAGTTCGTCACAGAATACCTGGCTCCCCGAGACAGAAGCCTTGTACTCCCAACTTCGAGCGCAGGCAGAGAAAAGTGGCTGGGAGCAAGTGAGGAACACCAGCACAGACTCCAAACCATTCCCTCAATTTCCCAGGGTCATGACGAAAAATGGGCCTGTGATCCACTATGCCATCTTTGTTTCCAAGGAGGAGAAGAAGTTGATTGGAGTTTGCCAGTTTGGAGTGGAAGCCCAAGGGCCAAAGGGGTGAGATTCTGACTTTGGAACTGGACTAGTCTAGTATGGGAGCAGAACGATTCCAATGAGAACATTGTGCCATTTTGGAACCCTGCTATTCCTACTGGGGGCAACTTGGAAATAACATGTTTACAAAGTGGAACAATGGTCATTGTACTGAGGAGCAAATGCCCCATTCCCTTTGGGAAAAACTGTGGAAACAAATTTCACAATATGACAAAGTAAGAAACAAGTACAAATCACCAGAATAAATAAAATTCACATAGTAAAATAACTGCATGCCCCGACAGAATTCCCTAGTAATTAACTAAATCACTTTGCGTAGTTATCCATAGCACGACTAAAAACAATACACACAAAGTACAAGCAAACATTGGAGCAATAACCCCCGTAAAAATTTCACGAATACAAAACAAACAAAAAAAAGGTTAATACCCTAACACTAACTCAACATGATACCCTCATATCCATTTAAGAGACGTGTCCAAAACGATTTGAAAAGGGCAGACGAATGGACCATGAAACTGCCCCCTCTAACGGTCCACCCTGACTGACGGACTGCAGAAGACAAAAAAAAATGACACACTTATGAAAAGATGACCAGACAAACATTCAACCATCCCAACGAAATGACTTATCCTTGTTTCAGATTCATGCTTTAAATTCAACTTCCCCAGTAAACTTTCTAGATGAAGTTATTTCCCAGGATGTGATAATGTAGCTCCGTTTACAATTCCATTTGTATCAAACAACCCAAAAGAAGGTATCGCTTCTCATGCAGCTACTGTCATACAAACATTCTAATGACAATCATTTTGTAGCTTCTTTGTTACCCAACTTGTCATGTGGAGTGATTATAGCCTTACAAATTCTTTCTTCTTTGCTGTCTTTTGACTTTTACTCTCATTTAAGACTTGTTCACGGAGGTGCATCTGCCACAATGCATGATGTCATCACTGCACACCTGTCACTAAAAGCTGTCTCAGAGAAGGTCCTGACTGCCTCACTGACAGTTGATTTCAAGAGGTAACATTTTCTTCCAATGGAGGGAAGAGAGCTTTTGAACCCCTAAAATGGAAAGATTTACAAAGCAGTGTGTAACTCGGCATATGGACAGAGTGGGCTGGATGAAGTGTTAACTCGAAGGGATTTCCTGTGGCCGTTACTCTAAGGACATTTAAACAGTATTAAGGTGATGTTTAGCCACCTTTAGCATAAGGAAAGTGCAGTTCCCAATAAAGGAGCCTCTGTTGCTAGGAAAATGGCACCCTCTCTTGGTCAAGCTTGGGGCTCATACTCATTCCCAGGCTTGAGTGATTCATAACGAGTTTGTAAACAGATAGAGGCTTGAACTAGTCCATGGAGGTTGAGCATGTTGGGAGAGTCCCCCTTGCATCCTGCCCCTCCCATACACCACTATTTGATATCCTGGATATTAATATTCGTCATGAATATTTACTCATAATGTGAGTCCAGTTGTGTCTTCTGATTCACACTGTATCATTTTGTGTCTTTGTTCAGACCAACTCTGATGAGATCTGCCATGCTGATGGAGGCAAACATTGACAAAATTGAAGGCAGCAAGATTTTTCTGAGATCATATTTGAAGAGTCCCGACGGGGCAACAGTCTACTCCAGTTGCTCAGCTTTGTATGTAAACATTGGAGAAAAATCTCAAAAATCATGACTTAAAAACCTAGTCTGAAGGGTCATTCAAGAAAACAAAACTGGCTACATGCGAAGTTAAACAGAAAAGCAGTTCGGTTATCCTAGTTGTTTGGACAAATTTTTATCTGTTTTTATTAAGTGATTAATTGTAGCACTAAATTTGTGTTTCACAATAAAATTACACCCCTACTTAATTCGCCTCTCTAAAGTCCTGAAATACCAGATGTCGTATGTTCATCTAATCTGTTTGCCATTATGTTTAAGTACCCCCACAATTCACTCCCAGATGGGAATGTTTTTTAAATGTGAATTACTCGAGCGAATCCCAAATCTGAATTGCCAAACATTAAAAAGACAGAAACATGAAAATGAAAGAGATGAAGCACTGTTGAAGATTATGCTGCTCAGTTTAATTATAGAAGAAAATATGTTATTTGTGATTAAATGCTTTTTGTGTAAATCTGTAGAGTTCTGTATGCATATATTACGAGTGCAAAGTATTACAAATAGTAGAAATGCAAATTAAACTTTTGAAAAAGACGAGTCATGTTTGATTTCTGTTTTTTGTGTGTGAAGAGTGACCAAAATAGCACTTTTTTACATGTGGGCGGCAGTTTTCCTAGGTCCATATTGTGAATTGTACTTGGGAACGTTTTATATAAGTCTATATGGCATCTGTTCTTGGTTACCCTAATTGAAAAGTGCACTCATTTAACATTCTTCCAAATTCTTACAAAGGAGACGTCTAACACTGTGATGTCATTCAAATCGCGAACCCCAAAGGTGCTCAAAGACCTGGCCTACTCGCATAAACTGGAGCAGTGACAATTAAATTACCTTGTTGAATAAAAATCACAACAGCAAATATCCAACATCTAGTAAATTAATGCAAAATTGGCGGTAACACCAAACATGAAATTTTTGCACTTAAAATGTTAATTTGTATTAGCATAAAAATTACAAAGACACAAAAATATCCTGAAATTGGCTCAATGAAAATTGAAAATCGGGTTAAATGGGACTCGAACAAGCTTATTTCAAGAAATGCATTGAACGTGGGCCGTTTATTGTAATTGAAGAGGGGCTACTTGGGCATTGAACTGTGTAGAAAAGGGTTACAAGCTGTGTGCATTGTAAGCCATCATCGCCATCGCGACGTCAGCTGTGTAATTAGAGTGAAATTTCTGAGGGAGTTCCAAGGGGTGTGCACATTTTTTAAGGGGGCATTAAACGCACATTAACTGTGGCTTGTACATAGGCTGTGACGTTCAGTCCACAATTTCAAATGGGGAGGGGCTCGGGCACGGACATCCACTTGGCTACACGTCGGGAAATCCGAAAGTAGGCCTATTGGTATTGTCAGTTTGTGCCTTTGGCGTGCTATTTTATTACTAGCACGTAAACTAAACTTGTAAAACCATCTCAGCTACGTTAGGGAAGTTTATGGATCGGTAGGAACGCACCTACAAAATCCTTTAAAAGTTATCACCAGGATATTCAACATAGTCAATTCATTTTTAAAAGTCTTCTTTCCCAAAATGGAAAATTGTTAAAAGGCTGATTGCCAGAGAGAAAGTTTAAGGCTAGTCGCCAGCGAATGCAGTGTGTTTAATGCTTGGGCATGCAGCCAGATGCTGAAGACAGAAAAGATTCGGGTGAAGCAGATATTTGGGGGGGCTGATAATAATTCTTGTGCTTTAAATCAGTTTTGATCTTTGAAAAATATAAAGGGAAACCTTTTCCTGTCCCAGGAAGGTAAAATCCTTTTAGGGGTTCGATGCTGCAAGTCAAGTACGAAATTCACACTATTTTTTTCTATTTTGAATAACCATGCGTTGTCCTCACCAGATAAACGTGAAATCATCGCACCCCCCCCCCCAACCCTGCAGACGACAATGCGATTAAGCGAATTGGGTCAGGGTCTTTCTCCCCTTGGATACCTTATACCATTGAATCAATTTAGAGCGCGCGTGCCTCACCGTCTGAGGTGTTCATTGGATAATACGTGGCACGCGCGCGCGATCTTCGCATCAATTAAGCACAGCTGGCTGGCTGGCAGCTGGCTGAATAGCCGCCGGCCATCAGCGTTGCAGCATGCATGCTGTGGATGTCAGTTGTCAACCGCAAGTCTGCCTTTGTTTGGTGCATGCTGCTTTGCCAGCGCTCATGCGGGTATGTCCTGGTGACCTGGATGAGATCTGATGGACAAGACAACAACAAGAAGGGCAAAGAAGTCGAAGTAAATTACGATATATTTATGGTTGGACCTATAGAAAGTAAGCACAACTCAGTCGTATCGATAAAAAATGTTGCAAACAGCTGAATAGCCTAGATTGTTCTTTTTAGAGTTTTAGTTGTCAGCATGTTTAACGTTAACGTTTTTTGGCCTAGACCGAGAAACCGATTTGCTCTGAATGTTGCAGGGCCGGCCTAGCCTAATTTGTAGGCCTAAGTTATTTGACCATTTCCCTGAACTCACACAGTTCATTTATAATGTAAGCCAACCGAACAATTGGCCTACGCATACGTATTAATAAGTGGTAGTCCTGAGACTTGAACACAATTAAAGCCCACCCAATCAACAATCAAGTTCTGGTAGGCGTAGGCCTAAACTGGTAATAACCCAGCTGTCAAGCTACAGTAAAGTAGGTAGGTTTCTGCATGACTTAGGCCAACACAAAATTGTGTAGCTCAAGCCTTTACACAAGTGAAGATGAAAAGGTATTTTGTGAAGATTATGAGCAGTTCAAATTACTGCTTTAAAACTTACAGTAGGATGCCCTAAAACCTGTTATCTCCCGTATGCCCCACACTACAGAGAGTATAGGCCTACTCAAATCAGTTGATACTAGTGTATAGGCATACATGTACTTACACCAGAAATATCCCAGTCTTTGTGATGTTTTTGAGTTAGAGCTTAATTTGTACTTCACTTTGTCAGTTAATCGAAGCCAAAGAAAATGAGTATGCTTCACCAAAAACGGAAGAAATTTGCCTCTGTATTGGAGGAGGCCTGCAAGCAATCTACAGTAACATCAAGCCTCTGTGAATCAAGCAGCAGGTTCTCTCCAGATCTTCCAAGCTACCCAGATTCCTCTCCAACCCGGGCTGGCAACTCTACCCTAAGTTTATGGCATGCAAGTGTCCCTACTACGCCTGAAGTACCAGATTCCTCCTCACTCAATCCTGTCGGGTGGCCCGCAGGTTTATTTGGCAGCAGTGATGTCTCTTGCAGTTCGCAGCTCAGTCCATGGTAATGCACTTAAAGTAATGAGCGAAATTAACTCTTTTGTGAACACAAAATAACCTGCAGAGCGCAATGAAATTTTAGATGATAAATGAACAAAAAACTAACAGGAAATCCTGTAAATCTACAGCCAGTAAACAAACCCATTGAAAAGCTGCACACAAATTTATCTTATTTTGTTTTTAGTATTTGCAAAAGGCTAAAAAAGTTTGTCTGCTTAAGTTTAAACATGCAGGACACTGCATTGTTTTGGGACAGATTTTTGCAGAGTTTGAACATTGGGGACAAAAACTTTCTTATTGCTTTCTACTAGGCTCTCTAGAGTTCCTTTATTCCACAAAGCAGCCATGCAACACACATGTATGTCAAAGGTGCCCTCAGACTTGGAAGTTCATCAAAATTTACAAACTTATAACAAATCCATCTACCAGCAACTACTAGCAAATGTTTAGTTGGTTCAACATTTAATTACATCCGAGGGAAAGAATGAGCTATTCCATGTCGTTGGGGAAACACTTTGTACCAAATTTATTGTCCATGAATTTAAATAACCAAACTACGATTAGTAATTGTCAGTGGTATGAGAAGTCTGGTAGACCTAAAAAGCAAATTTACTGATTTGTATTTAAAATATTAGGTTATAACCAAAGTTGTTGAATTCTAACAATTTTTCTTTCCTATTAGCATTGATGGAGATAGCTGGCCATCTGATTCATGTTTCTCCTGCCCCTGGAATCCCAGTACAGACTTGGAGTTTCTGGAGGCAGACACAGCAGATCAGATGTTGACAAGAGCTATTTCAGCTAGTCAGCAAGCGACTCAGACAAGCATGGATTTATTGGACTTCCTGGGTGAGTATGGGCCCATCCAAAAGCAAGCAGAGCTCAGTCAGTGGACTTGCCGGGGAGGGGTTGGAAATTGGCTTTTGATGCATATTTCTACACCTGTGTTGTGAGTTGCAAAATTTTTCGATTGGAACCATTTGAGACCTCAAAAATCAACATTGAACAATGAGACGCGCATCTTTGCTGAGGAAAGTGATCACTCTCAAAAGTCATGTAGTGTTTGGATTTTTGGAATAAACATTGCACTTTCAAAATCTTCAGATGATCAGAATCACACCATCAGCCAGTTGGGGGCATGCATGGATGTGGATGATCAGCTCTTTGCCGGTGCCAGCAGCCCAGCGTTATCCATCTTCAGTGACCTCCAGTTTGACCTCAAGTCGGACTGCCTGAAGAACGATGCCTGGCTACATGACCCTGTGAGCTCTGACAGCGACCTGGATGACCTGCTCATGCGGTCAACCCTCACAGTCAAGACACCTCGGCGTAGGGGCCGCCCACCTTTGCTTCAGTCCGCTTACTTCTGTAACGATGTGACCAAGGGTCTGTCCACTGCAGATTATTTTCACTGTGTGGCTGACAGAGCCACAAAGGTATAGTTCTGAATTCGTCTTTTGAGAGATAAAGTTGACGAGTAAGATTTGTTTGGCTCTGGTGGGTGCTCATCACTATGAAAATGACTCACTTTTTTAGCCTATACAGGACACTCAAGTTCAATATTTAGTTACCAAAGTTGTTTTCTTTTGAGTTATTAATTCAATCTCCCCATGGATGTATGCTTGAAATCATCAAACTTCTTTGGGGCAAACTTGCCTCTTTCATGATTTCTAAAACAAATGTGAACCACTTGATATCATTCATACGTGTAACAAAGTCATTCACCAACTGCACTTTGCTGTCTCTTCACAGGGAGTAACTTTCAATAATTTGACTAACAAATACATTTTGAAAGAATCTTCACTTTCATTTCACATCATTAATATTTTTGAATAGGCTCGACACCTTGCAGGTGGCAGAAAGAGAGGATTATATAAAAACCAAAATTTCACTGCTTTATTTTTGTTCCTCTGTCAGAAGAGGAGTGCTAACCCTGGCAAGGACCTCTCCCCAGAAGAACTGCTCTTCAGGAAGGAGAGAAACCGTCTCCGCAGCAAGGCCTATCGTCTCCGCAGGAAGATGCAGTTTGAGTCCATGAAGGAGGAAGTAACACAGGCACGCCAGAAAATGGAAGAGGTACAGAGAAAGATTCAAAGCACTTAAAAAAACATCAAAGGTGAAGCAGTTATAATTCGTTGTCTCATATGCTAAATTAATTCTTTGCATTCAGTTAACTACCACACAATAACTTGTGGGCGGTTTAGACCACCATTGCTTGTGCTTGATTGTCAAGAAATGTACAACTGTGGAAACAGTAACGAGAACAGAAAAGGATGTATTTTGGACCAGTAGCCACCTGTAGATTGGACGTATTTCGTAAGGCAATAGAAACAGGTGATTATAAATTGAGGTGAAATTCTAGCCAAACTGAAAGATGTTGTAATTTTTATGTATTTTGGCTTACATTTAATCACATAGAGCTAAGAACTTTCCCAACAGTTGATATTGTGTTCTTTATTTTACTGTTTAATACCTGCAGTAGTGTCAGTTGGGGGCTTGATGCAAAATGGCCTTTGTGTATTCTTGATGGCAGATTTGATTAACCTAATTTTTAAGGTTGATCCTGTGTAAATAACATTTACTGGTCTAAAATATAAACTTAACTACTGATTTTGCTGTTTAAAGAATCCCCAAAGCAGTTTGTGACAATGTTTTGTAAATAAAAATGTACAAAAGCCACATGTAATTTATTAACTAAAACGACAGACATTCCGTTTTCCACAAAGCATAGACTGATTATATAGGACTATCTTTGTAAGTTTCACTACAGCATGTCATAGTATTTTAAATACTTCGCCTATGTGTTGAGAGTAACTTATTCACTAAAGAGAAAACTGCATTATTTATTCTTCCATACTCTTATATTTTGATGGAAAATATGTATTCTATGAAGGTACAATTTGAAACTATGCAATTTACAGTGCAATTATCTCTATACTTGTACAAAATGAACAGACTTCAATTGTATAAAGGTGATAACTACAGTTCAATGCTAATGACCTTATTTTCGCTACAAAACTGCAAAAACCCATTAGTAAGGAATTCAGAGAAGCAGCTTTAAAACCAAACCCTGGGCAATGAAATCTGAACAAACGCAGTGAAATACAGTCTCATCTAACTGAAATATCTGAAGCCTCAGCCTTGGTGATACTGTACTCATTATGAATATGCGGGACTGCTTGCACTGATCTGTCCAGCATTTTGTTCTCAGGACGACAGTGTCTAAACAGAGAAACATGACTAATATGAAAATCAACTGTGGCTTGACAGTAAAGTGCAATTCAAATCCAATTCAAAGACTCTGCAGCTGAAGTGTAACCTGACTGGAGTAGTTCACTATCAATACTGATAAATGATAATCTCAGGTTTACTGTTTAGAACCTCCGTGTTCACGTATTTCATCTGTTTGATTCGGTTAAGTAGAAAATGTAGAAACAAAAGTGCGAAAACTGAAATGTCAAACTAGATAGATTCAACAGTCTGACAAATGCTATTTCCATGAATGAACTATAGAACACATATTTTGTGTTTTACTTAGCATGTGAAAACTGTACATTATAATTTATTTTACACGATAATTAAAACTTTGCTAAAGAATTACTATAATTCCATTTGTTTCTATTTCTGTGTATCGATTAGTCATGTTAAGCTTCTTGATTTTATTCTGACCAGGTGGAAATAAACTCCACAGGTCAATTTCATCAAGTACGAACCAAAAAGCACAAAGTTGCTTAACACTGGCGTTATTTGCTCAGCAGTAACAGGTAACCAATCCGTCATGCTGCTTTTTGCTCAGCACAAAAGTTTACTGAGGAGTACTGCAGCAGCACCATGAATGTTTCCTAGTCTTGTGCAAGACATGTTTCTCACAAATGCAAGACAAGTGCAAGTTAAACAATCCATTAAGCAAGCTTGTCAATTTTTCCCACAATGTCTTGGAAAGCACTGAGCATGCATACAGTGCTTGATAAATTCCGTTAGAAAAAGCTAAAAGCCAAACATTCAAATGAGCAGGACAAAATTTGTACTAGCATGACAGATTTTTTGTCCTTCGTCATTTAATACCGAAATCACTTCAATTCCAGTTGCTTACACACTCTTGTCATAGAAAAGGCGATACACACTTTGCATGGCCCACACTACTAAAAGCCTTATGATCCAGTTCAGTATTCCAACAGCGCATGCCCAGTGTAAGGCTATTTGGATATAACCACACGTTCTGTCCTATCAGCACAGCGATATGCTGACTCGCATTCCCAAAAGACCTTGGCTTTATGCAATACCGAACTGGCTCATTGGCTGCTTTATATCATATGACCTGGGATCTGTCACCTCATTCGACTTCCAGACAGGGAGGATCTCTTAAATTCTGGAATCCACTGCTCCAAGAAAATTCTACAGATTGCAAAAAAAAAGAAGTCAATGCAAAAGGTACTGTTAGACTTCTAAGTGGAAATTCATTCTGCACAGTATCAGTCTTTGGGAAACTTGCCTAGAACAATGTTTTCCTTGACTTTTCACAAGTTATTGGCTGATCAAACCAAGGGGGGTCTTCAAAAAGCACAGTTTGCTCTAAATTCCAGTTTGCTCTAAATAACAAAAGCAAAAGGCTTGAATTCCAACGATATGCAGCACGATGCCATTTGATATACAAAGATCCTGATGGTTAGGCTTAAGAGGCATTATCTGAATTTTCTGAAAACAAGTTTCATGGGAAAAAACTTAGTCATCCCTCGAACTAGCCACAGGTCAGTGTAACAAGAAAGAATCACGCATTTTGTAACGTTTCATTTTTCACAAAACGAGTCTATACCAACCTTGCCCTGTCTGCCATTTCGTTACCACTCCATCGCGGACTGTAGGGATATTCCTTGTTTACGGCTGCTATCAGCTTACCATAGGTGGTCACATTGTAGACGGACTGAAGCTCAAAAAGTGGCTGGTCTCGTGGGAAGAATGTTGGAATGACAACTGAAAGAGACAAAAGGTTGACAATAAAACATAGCACTGACGAAATCTCTGAATGGTTTTACACCACCCAGCAAAAAGTGGTTAAATTTCCACTCATGGTATTCAACCATCTGCCTGACTCACTGTGAAGTATGCAGTAGAAGTCCCCGTTACGCAGCAGTAGTGAGATCTTATTAAATGTCTCTGCATCATACTCCAGCACTGCCCTGCAGTACAAACAAGAAATACAACCACAAATTATATCTTCTAAACTTATGCCAAAGAAGAGTATTTCATAAAAGCCGGGGGGGGGGATTACTAGTTAAGGATCTCAAGACTTAAAAAGGAAATATATATGTAGATAAAAGATATTCAACAACCAGTGATAATGAGCAAGTTTCATATACAGAGAATGAAGGCTCAAAATGAGGTACACCATAGGTCAACACATAAGTTCAGCCCTCTCACAATTTGAACTAGCAAGGAATCAGATGCTTTGTTCTTGGATGACCTTACTTCTTTGAAATACCACGATGTCTCACTGAGATAAAAAGGTTCAACACAACTAGAACTAAGTGATGTGCACGGTCACGTGAAATGTTTTTCTCTGTGTGACCCTTGCAGAATTTACATTATTAATAGTTTTCAGTATGTTTTGGAGCAACACTACACCTTTATTTCCTTTTCCGACATTGACATTGCCTTTGTCATAAACTGTCCTTTAAAATAATTGTTTCGTCACATGTGGAGAGAAGAGAGTGTTTTTCATCCATGATTTCACTGACTAGAAATAACACATGACTATGGAAGCCATAAGCTAGCGGCTTTGGCCAATTCCCATAAACATGCATATTTGACCTAGCCACAGCCAGGTGATTTAGGCACAGCCTAGTTTTCATTCGAATATGCACAAACCTATTTCGCTTGGGACCCCAGCACATGGGCAATGACATCTGAATATCGGCCTAACCTATCTCCTTACCATAATTGAAAAGGTTTGGTAGGCAACTACCTGAAAATGTAAACAAGTGTCTTGTGCAAAGACTAGAGCAATCTTACCTTCCATAGTGACTGAGGAATGCTGAGAGGTACTCTTTTCTTTTTTGGTACCCTTTGACAATCTGTTCAACCTGAAAAGTATTAAAAAAGCTCGCTTACTCCTCAAACAATTGTTTTGCTTGTAGCCAATGGTCCATCTGCAGAGATTTTAGCGCAAACGACAGTAAGTGACCGATCTGATAAAAAGAGAAGCCATGTCATCATTAGCTGCAAGAAAATCACAAACGTTTCAGTGTTCAGACATTTTTACAGCTCAATATGTTTTATCTAGATGATTGAAGTTTTTTTCACAACATAAGTCCAACAGCTAAACCTTGGAGCAACATACGCATGTAACATTTCAGGAACAAATGTATGACATACCTTGAACCATCTCCTATTTGTTGCATTGGATTATTCTGACAGTGCATAATAACCACTGACTATGCATATCAACATGTGCTTACTAAATGCTGTGAATGTTGAGCCAATTCAACACAAGTAGGACTCAGTTTTGTGGTTGAGTTCATTATGAGTCCTACAAGTCCCATCACAATTCCGGTCACAAGTGCTTTCATAAGAACAGCAATGACAAATGAAGGCTTTTGTCTCAGTTGTTACGATTAGCTGGTGACTAAGTTTTGAGACTGGATGACTTGTGACCGACTTGCAGGGACATGTACAGGATTTGACCACAGCACTGCTAGGACTTCATTCAGACTATTGATCTGTTACCATATTCTCTAGGAGTTGGCAGACATTTGGCACATAGTCCATCAGACAGTTTCCATTTTGAAATGTTGGGATTCGAAGAGACGCTGACCCACCCAACACGCTGTAACAGACAACCAAAAGAAATTCCGTGAAATACCTGAAATGACTCAACACAGGCAAACATTATCAGATCAAAAATCTACACACAGAATATTAAATGTTGAGCAGTGATTGGAATGTATTGGTATTTACTGCGAATGTCTGGTAAACTTGAGTTATGCCTTCTTCCTGATAAATATTTTCAATTGGAAGTGCTGAGGTAACGACATGCACGGAGTGTATGACTTTATGACTTGAATTATATTACCATTCTAATGTAAAGAATTCACCCACAATATGGCCGTTTCACTACAGTGCACCACCAAGAGTTTGCAATGCATTGGCCAATCACAGTGCGTGAAATCTGTCGACCAAATGCGTGTTTGAAAAGGGTCAACAGATTTCGCACGATGTGATTGGCCAACATGTTGCAAACTCTTGGTGGCGCACTATTGTGAATCGCCCGTATTCTGAGTAGTATTTTTGAACCTGAGGTACGCTTGCATCAAATACACATATCTCATCATGCAAGAGCTACATGAATGCAGTCATACTAAAACAACCACGCTGGCAATAGTACCGGTTATAACTTTTTCGGAAGGATTCAGGTCAATGAGAGCCTTCTTTTTTCCTTAAGATGTGTGCATAGGCAAGACTGCGTGTTTTCTAAATTCCTAGTGGAAATGTTCCAAGCATAGAATAAATCTGTTCAGTCTTTACAGTGATGTCCTTGACAATTACATAAAGTTCCTGTCAGACAGACAACTTACTGTTCCACTCTTGGAGACAGGTAGAGTTGGGGTGATACCTTAGTGGCTTCCTGATTCTGAAAACTGACCAATAGGATTGCAGTATCGTCACCTGGGTTATCCTAAGGAAAAAAAAGCAAATTAAATTTTGAAATGCATGTACTTTAGGGAGGAAGATAAGAGAAAGTAGATTTTTCACACATGCGCAAACACCCACATTTGCCTGCAACTGGGGGACCCCCTATTGTTTCTCTCTGTGGAAGACATCCCATATGTTTTGTACATGACTGTCAAATGGTGAACTGGGGACCCTACTGTCCTCTATATAAGGGTCCCCAACCAAATGTAAAAATGAAGTCACATGTTGGTGTTACCAACCTAGCATGGACATTCCTTTGTTTCTGTGTAGTTAACAAAACTCAGTGAAAATACTTCTTTTTCTTGATCAGTGAACACTATCTCAGGCTAGATTTTTGATGATGCTTTCCTTGACTGTCCCTCCTTATTTTGCAAAAGATAACCCTGAACCTAAAATGCCTCTTAACCCGTTTGCCAGAGATCTGGACCTCTTGTTCACGGGTCCACATCAGGTATGTACACATGGTGAAATAGAGACATTGTGGGGACCAGCAATGTTACAGGGACGAATATTTGTCCTCTTAACATGGTTCCAACTTTCCTAACAGAAGAAATTGTCCCCTTAACTACAGGGAAAGCCTACCAACACACACACTCACACACAAAGTTTCAACAAAGTAAATAAAGCTCATAGTTTTTAAAGCATCTCTTCTTACCTTCACAAGGAATTCTGGGATATTTGAGAAGTCCACTGGTAATCTGATCAGGAAATTGACTGTTGTCGGCCCCTGGAAATGTTTAAACAAAAATCGGGTCATGTAAAGATGGAGCAAAAAGCCTGGAAAACACATACCGTGCAAGGAAAAATATTCGTCTCTAGAGTTTCAAAAGTATACAAAGTGCCGTTTCAGTATACTTCAAGAAAGGGGCACCTACAGCTATGAGTGAGAGTTAATGTACAGTTAGACTGATGGAATTAAATCACAAATGTAAGACTATGCATGTATATGTACTTACTGTTGGCAAGAATTTATTAAAGAGCCGTGCCTTGGGAGTGGAGTCTGCCCCTCCCTCGACACTTTCTCCAATAATGCATCTTTTGGCCATGCCAAACCTTCAGGTGATAATCCACTGATGTCTTATGATAATTCTGACAGGTCAGCCCAAACTGTTCACTTCATCCTTTGACTTGCTCACAGATCAGTGCTCAAGCAAGTAATCTACTTATATCCAACATGTCTCACCCTGGCGGTTTTCCGGCTGTGATAGACCTCAACATCAGTGAATCTACCCGTCGCGAGGAGTGAGCTGTGTTCAAACTGTAGTCTTTCTCCTAGCAGCTGTCGCTGATGTTCCTTGTAGGCACCCAGAAGTTCTCTTATCACCAGGGAGAGGGCACTGGTGTCCTCCGCGTCCCAATTCACAAGGCTCTGACAAAAACCAAAGCAACGAACATGTATAACATGCCTAGCAGCAATTCTCCAGAAGAGGGACTTGGAGACATTTTCTGAGTTCTTTCTTAGTTTTCGAAACTTGTCCGACACAAACAATTGGGGTCTGTCCAGCACATTACTGTAGCAGTCCCTGCCCCATCCCACCCCCTAAACAAGATACAGCCGAGTAGAATTCTATTCAAATCATCCTACCTGTATTTTCAAACAATGGACTTGCAATATTCAAAGTAGTGTTAATAAATTTGGAGTGAAACTCCAGATAGGAAGAATGTACTGTTGTCAAATCCAGAGTTCCAGCAGACAAAATTTAAATAGACGCCAAAGCTTCAGCCAAAAATATGCACATTTTTGGTACTCCTTACTTCTATGTAGTGCTACAGGTAAATACAGCTCTTTTCTCACCCACTGCACAGGATTCTGAACACAGTCCACAAATATTCACCATCCGCCAATGGCAGCTGACAGCTCAATCCTTGAAATCTTAAGTCTAGAATACCAGCCTTAATCAGCCTCATGACTCATGAAATACTTGCCTTGATTTCTTCAATGTTAGGCATAAATCCCGAGTCTTGGTCGTTGAAAATGAAATCTGGCGGGTCTGATGGATGCATGCTGTCAAAAATGATTTGCCCTGTAATCAGGAATAACAAGCATCGATAATTCCATACATTTAATATAAGGTATATATTCTCTTTAAATAACTGATAATGACAGACCCAAAGTATTTCAAATTGCACAATTTGTTTTGTCCAACAGTAACTATCACTTTAAGATAACTGATACTATAATTACATGTAAAAACTGAAAAGACCAATACATGTACCTACAAATGGCCCCAACAAAACATTATACCAAAGACCATCAAGACGAAACAATGTGACTGAAAGACATCATACAGAAATCATAAGAAAACCACAGTGATCATGCAATCAAAATCAATCAGATTTATTCTTATGTTACTACAATTGAAGATTTACACCATATGTTTGACACTTGCTGAAAAGAGTTAATTTTTTCTGCCACATTTAAAAGTAAATGTATGTATAGAGTGTGTGACTGCCTTTAAAACAGGTGCAAGGGACTACCTGTAAAACTCAAACGTGCTAAACAACTGATTAATGCCATCGTTCATTTTTTGGGAGAAGTATGGAAACAGTTTATGGCAGCTAAAAAGTCTCCCGAGGAAAGGAGCGTGGACCAGATCAGCAGATGACATGTACCAAGTATTTTGAGGGCATTCCTTCTTCAATTCTTCAAATGCTTGGGTGCTGGCTTTCATTTCAAGGAGTTTTAAGTCAAATATTCTCTTTAGGGTATTTTGGGGGCCACACCAAGTGGGTCCTCTTAAAAAGTTCAGGCTGATTTTATACTGAAGAGATCATAGATCAAAGAGATCATCAGCAGTGTGATTCAAGTAACTTTCCAAACTTCAATTCTGGACAAAATACACTTACAAGTGACTGTGTTACCAGCATAAGGAATTTGAATCTTGAACCGGTCACAGCAATGTCTTTGAGTAATCGTGTGTCTCCTTTAATGAAAACAAAATCCACATTTTGGTTAAATTTATTTAACATAGATAACTACATTTGAAAAAATTACTAGTGCAGGTACACGACTGCAAAGATAAATAAATTAAAAATAAAAAACCTACTAAAAAATTTAAAACATTATACATTGAGAGGAGAGTTCCATACCCGGACACCATGTGCACGAACCCTATATAACTGGTCTGAAGAATTGTTTTTCCAAGTAACTGTTTTAACAATTTCCAACACTTAAGTTGACTTTTCAGGCATCGGCATATTATCGCTTTCTAATGGCCAATACATTATTGCAAGGAACAATGAGATAAATCCAAATATGGAAATCTTTCCCAAAAGAGCTACACTTGTTCTGTGGTATTTGTGCACTGGCAGTTCTTTAACACCACCAAATTGAAAGTGACTATTTTTGGTCTTTTTTTCTTGAAACAAAACACTATGAATTTGATCCAAGAACAGGCCTAGACATGCTAGCCAAGGCATAGGCCTAACCATAACCATGCTAACATCCCTTTTACTTTAGTTGCATGTAGGCCCTAAATGGTACAGATCTGCAAGTTTTTAACAAAAAAAGCTGTTACCAGCCAAGGATAAAATCCCCAAACTTGTCAAAATATCCCTAGGCCTAACATTTATATTTCTTTGCTTTGTACAGTCCAATGCATAAGGTGGGCCTAATCCACACTTATATCAAAAGGTTTTCTAGTAATGACATCCTTTCTAAGATCACTTCAAAAAGAAAACAGAAGAAAATAGGCCCAGTTCAAAAAATTTTGATCCTCACTACAGTTTCTGGAAGTGGGCCAAGGCCTATAACAAAAGTAATGGGGGACTGGTTCACGGCCAAATGTCCACCAGCATGATGTCTACCCCTAAAACTAGACTACCCCAAGAACTGTGGGGTCCGACGTCCGCCAAGCCTGGGAGCGGGGGGGGGGGGATCCCACAATTCTGGGGGTACCTCTAAAACTACTCCGCTAACCTACATAAGTGCATAATGTACATGTAAGGCCGAGGCCTCAAGGCCCTATCGTTGGTCAATAACTTCCACCATGTCCACAAGTTCCAGTCCACGATCAACATGATCAACAATACGTACCCGGTTTTGGGGTCTAAAACATGCACTGGTCCTCCCCAAACTCCAACATTATTCTCTCTTAATAAGGCATCTACATATTTCCCTACTTGAGGTTCTAGGAAATCCAAGATATCCATAGTACTCTAGAGGTAAAACATTTCCGATTGGACTCTGTTCTCATAAGATGGAGGCTGCCATTTTTGAAGCGTAATTCAGTGGAAGTGTTCAACAACATGGAAACAAAAACGCTTAATATAAATCTTATATGATTGAAAATATTTCTGAAGTCTGTAATTATTTTTAATTGAAATGTTTCTTGTAAACTGATTGAATGTTTTTTCTATGCTCTTGGAAATATTTTATACATGTTGATAAAGACTGGACGTAACAGCAAGGTTCCTTCTGGATTCGCTCTAAGAAAACCTGACAACGTGTTTAGGTGCCAGACGGCTGCTCAATATCAATGTAATTTTCATTTTTACTAACAAGAAAAAGGGCAGAAATTATCATCCACAAGCACAATGTTACGAGGTTCACCTGGGGAAACCCTTTTTGGTATATTATTCGTGTATTTGTTGACTTGGAAAACTGGCACTTCTACCAACGGGGACAACGAGAGTAAAAGAGAAAGGTGAACGTACATCAACAGAATAGGTTGTGCCTTTGTCAATCAGATTTATCGGTTTATCAGGTGTAGGCATATGTGAATCATGATGTAGGCCAAAGCATACCATGCACTGATGCAGCTTTCTGTGTCCTTGCTCCAATACGATCAGATGATATGGATGATCTTGTCTCATAGGGTCTGTGGATAGGCCCTAGAATTAGGAAAGAGTCTGTATGGCGTCCATATAGAATTCTTCCCCAAGCCCTACATCATGCATGACATGCCCTACTTCATTTTGTTTTCTGGTCCAGATGATTTTTAGTAGGCCTACATAGAGCCCAGCCATGTCCAAATGTTACAGAAGGTGATTCCTGGAGCAGGGTTTCCCCTGGGATACTGATATGTATGAGGTGGTCAAACAGATTTTGCCAAAATTCAAGTACCTAAAAAAAAAGGATTTTTTTTTCAAAAAGGCCATAAATAGATTGTATATAGTCTAATAATACATTTACTCCAAATTTTCCCTCTGACATAAACCAGTCTTGTATTCTGTGTCCCTCTTTACCATTCTTAACTATTTGAATCTGATCTGTTACAGGATAACTAAGTTCTTTTGCATTTTCGTTCTATCTTTGTCTATTTTAAGTGTGGGGTGGTAAAATTCAACAGAAAAGCCTGATGTGGTCACTAAAATCAGTTAGGAGGGCTGCCTCACAGTTGAATAGGCAAGGGAAACCCTGTCGTAGAGTCCAAGTTACTGTCGAACTTGTTAAGGAAATAAGGTTCCAAATTGCACTTCGTCTGAATCATTATTCAGTACTAGGCCTACAAAGCCACGATGACAAAGCTGTGATTGCTTTACCAATATTTGTGTTTTCTTTTAAAGTTTAAGGGTTACACACAACAAATGTCGAATCAACTGCGCCCACTGCTGTCAGCCAGGAACAAACAAATTAAAGTTTTGGGTGCAAACAAATTTCTAATCGAGTAAATTTGTAAGACCTGCTCTGCTATGTGATTGTAGGAGCTGTTTCAGCAGTATTTGTCACTGCACCTGTTATTATGGTACACAAAATGTATTCGTGATGTAATTGTATACGTAAATGTACTTTCTTACAGTTGTCATTATGATCTCGTTGTGGCTTGGACCTCAGAGATAAGCAATAGTTTGGTAGCTGCAACCCCACTTGTTGCTGACATCAATGCCGACAAGATATTGGACATCATCTCACCAGCATTCACGGAGGAAGTGGTTGTCCTTGACGGGGTCAGAGGTCAAAACCTTGTGGGGTCAAACTGGCCAGCGAGTTCTTTAGACAACTCATTCCACGCCTCACCTTTACCGGTATGCTTTGGACAACCTATGTAACGCTGTGTGTGGTAATCTTGACAAGATTGTGGAATTGAAAAGTTCTTTTGTGGGTTGATGGGTTGCTCTGCGCCATAGGTGGCGCAGAGCACCTGCTACAGACAAGGCGGGGTGGTGTAACTGGGATGGTCAGTTGACATTTAGATTGGACTGTTTGATCATCCGGGGTATTCAAGTTGATGAAAAAGTATGTGTGAATTTACTGTGCAGTAAATTAAGGCAACAAGAATTTCATTCCAGGAGGTCACTGTTTTTTCCCGGCGTGACATATCATCCATTAAACATGCCCTGAAATGTCAAATCAAGTAGGGAAAATATTGAATCATGATCTTTTATGTAAGAAACACAGTTTTCAGACCTGTCTCACTGGGTGTCAAGTGGTGTTCACAGGGTGTCTCGCCCAATAGGTTTAATTCATCAAGTTTTTGATGAAATGAAATGAACCAAAAAACAAAGTCAAATATTGCTGGTCACATGAAAAAGTATGGTCGGAGTACAATGGAATTTCCTATATTACTGTGTGGTTTATTTTCCCAAGTTTTGTGCTTTCAAATAAATATAATCTTTGTCCTAAATTTTCTTTTCTTGTTTTTGTCAACATAGTATGACATTGATCAGGACGGAAGAGATGACATTGTCTTATGTACATCAGATGGAGATATTCTCTTCATTGATGCCCGAGGAAACTGGATGAAGGAAAGGACAATGAGTATCCCATCCTTGGATGTACGGAAGGAATGGTGGAATTTGACAGGTGGTTCAAGACAAGATGTGATCGGCCAGTCCGTAAGAACATCCACGCAAAGACAGGTATGTCTGCACTAGAGAATTGGCCAAGATCATTTCCAGTTTCGATAGTATACACGATTGGGCAATATGATATCGCGTACATGTACATTTGGCCCCAAAGGTACTGTCATGTTGAAGCTTCTGCGCTCGGTGTGCATTATATCTTAATTCAGTCAGGTTCTTCCACATTTCTATTTATTCCTTAAATGCTGTTTCTTGTTATTTATTTTAGCGGTCTTACTCTGAACTCATGACAGAACCACTTTCACCCTTCAGAACACTTGCTGAAGCGGTTTCCCACCATTTGTAGTGTTTTGAAAGGGTTTCACTGCACTGCTCTTAAAAGCAAGTTTAACTCGACTGGAAAAGGTTTCAAATGTAACCTTGTTTTTTTCCAGGCCGCTCATTCAAGAGATTCTTCTAGCAAGCAGTACATCAGTGTTGATCCTCACGTGTTAGCCACGCCAGTTATTGCTGATCTGAATCGAGATGGCATCACTGAGGAATTAGTTGTCCCGGTTAGCTACTATATTAACAGCAAGATCGACAGGTAGCTTATTTCAAAAGTGATCAGAGCCCTTCATCTGAAGCAGTAGGTGCTGCTATACTACTTCGGGGTACTAGACTGGCTTTTCTCCTGTCAAGTAGCCCGAGGGGTGAATTACATCTAATTGACATTTTTTGGTAGTCAGTAGATATTAAAGGGCAATTAAATTGGCCAAAAGCTACCGTGAGGAAATGTGATCACACGGCTTGTTGCATACATCACAGACAACTACATGTACCTTCTTTAATAAACAAAGCCCTAACCCCTCTCCACCAACAAAATTGACCTTGCTACTAAATGCACCAGAGGCAAAGACTGTGGTCTCCTGGAATTTAAATGGTGACTGCACCCACATCAGGGTTAAAGTCAATTTAGTCTTTTCATAATGTTTCTTAATTTGTAAAGTTTTCCAGCAAATCAAAATTGATTTTTCTCTCCAGGGTCGCATTGAATGCCACACTGAAACACACCTTGTGCAAATATTGATTCCTCTGAACCCGTATCAAAATAGAGATCCAGTGTCCTTGGATATGTACATTATGCTCTCTCTTCACTACTTGCAAATGCCCTTCTGATTTTTCTGCCCACTGAGAGCACACCTACTGTGATGTTAAAAATGAAAAGGCTCAGTTACACCTTACAATATAAAATTCCTTCTTCTTTTATTTGATGACTGCACAAAGTTTTTTATTTTGCCAACTTTTCATTTTTGGTTTACCATTTTGATCAGGTCAGAAATAGAGCTCATGGAATCAGGAGTTCCTGACTTGGATCTGCGGGGTTATCTAGCAGGTGGCATTGTTCTGTTTAATCTCACTGCAGGGCAGATTTATCAGGAAGTGATACTGGAGCTCACAATGGTAAGTTAGTCAAATCATTTGATCTCCGTATTCCCTCATGGTGTTGAGTACAAATTGTGACTTCATGAGGTTTGGGTACTTACCTCAACTAACTGGATTACAGATACTTTCTACTTAAATTATGTTGACCTTCAAATCGGTTTTGTACTTTTGGTGAAGAAAATGTACATTGTTCATTACAAGGACATTACAGTGGATGAGCAGCCATGGGCCGTGAGAAATATACCAAGTAAACAAAACCAACCCTCTGATAAGTTAAATGAACTCCCTCCAACTTGCTTCATGTGGAATCTTGGCTGATGCACTTGTATCAGTCGTGCAGTGCGCTTAGTATGAAGAGAATTGGCCAAATCCAACTGTTTGGCAGAATGCTTACAGAGCAACCCGGAACCAAATTAATTTTTTGTTTGTTTGAGATTTTTTCGCACACAATGATGCATACATGATACTTGGCCTTCTTTTTCACAGATTTCAAGATTTTAATTTGTTTTATTCATGAATTAAGATTAAATTATGTGTCTGTACTTTCTTACATCTTCTTTCTGATACAAGTACAATGTATTACACACGATTCAATTTTCAATTGTACAATACCAAAAAGTGAATCACTCCACAAATGGAAGTTGGAGGGGGTCAAAAAATTGTTTTGGGGGCCATAGGTTTTTAAATTTCTGTATGTTACCTTTTTTTAGCCTTCGTTAGAGGTAAGGCTGAAGTTTGAGGCTTTTGGGGTAAAGGAAATGAAAAAGACCCCCCCCAAAAAAAGAAAATTTAGAAATTGTTTTCAAAATAATGGAATTTTACTGGAGGGGCATGGCCTTGTGTTCCCCCATCCCAAGAGACTTGTGGCTGTTACTGGCCTCAAAACCAGTCTTTTAAAAAATGCAACATATAGTGGCCAACTTTTCAATACAGTCATTTGCAAAAGTGTAAGGCCACCTGGAGTGTGGTTGGTATTTCTGTCAATGGGCCTGCATTACACTGTCTCATTGAATGATTACATAACATGTTTTTTACAGTTGTCCATAACATCAGAGTATTTCTATGAGTCCACTTGAATGACTTTTTTGTGCAAAGGCAGGTCTTGTATTTTGTCTGTAATGCAGCATGGGTATAATAAAGCCAGTTGAAGTTATCAGAAATGCAGGAGGGCACAGCATCAAATTATTATCATTTCAAATCATGGAAATGTAGTCAAATAGCTCTGCAACCAAGACACTGAGGTTACACATTGAAAATAAATATAAGTTGCCATGATTAATTAGTTCAACTTTGGGTTTTTTCTTCAGGTTAATGCATTTTGTATGGGGTACTCCAAAACTTTTGCAAATGACTGTACATTCAAATGCCACAAGCCCTGACTCCTGAAAATTTTTAACAATATTTGAGCAATACTTTTTACTGCAGCCTCTTTTTTGCAACACTCTGGGCCAAAACATAGAGAAGTATAGAGGTTCTACATGTTAGCCATATTTCCGGTAAGAGCTTTTGTTCCACAGAGACTAGACCTTTTGTTCTATCCCTCCTCGCCAAAAGCAGTCACTGGAAAGATGGCTGCCATGCAGAGCCTCTATTTGCTCCAAAAAATGTGCTGAGTCCAAGTGGCCCACCTCCACAGACTTGTTGGACATTGATCAAAACTTTGGGAACACTTGTCAGTGCAACCTATCATCCATACCTGTGAGTGCAGATTGCCAAATCATGTTGGTCGATTTGGGTATTGAAACATACTACATAAAACCTTGTTTTTACAGAGAGATGATGAATTTCCAGGATACATCCTCTTTACTCCAACTGTCGTGGATCTTGACAGTGAAGGAGGCCCTCTAGAGATCATCGTGGGAACCTCAGCAGGCAACCTCCATGTTTTAGACCATACTGGTACCCCGCGGACTGGTTTCCCTCTGTTACTCAGCACCTTACATGGACAGGTACATGCATGATTAATTGGTAATTGTGTTGACATTTGCATGCTTGACAGGGCCTCCGTAAAAATGATGGATTCCACATTTGCAAATGTTAGTAAGATATACCATAATAAAGCAATGTCCAACCTTTTTCAATGCTCGCAGTATGGAATAAATCAGAAATGTTAAACAGTTATTTGCAGGCTTTAGTAAGGTCAATACAATCAATTAATACACAGAACTCATGATTCGTACAATAAAATTTGAATTTCAGAGCGATATGAATCTTTCCTTTTGTAGCAATTTGTATATTTCTAACGCGGGTAGATGCTTGTGTCTAAAAGCTGACTTTTTATTTATCCACAAAAGTTGCTTAAGCTACGTGCACGTACATACGGTGAAGGTACGCATTGGTCCAGCATTATTTAACCAATGCTTGGTCATGAGAAGACCTTTAACAAAAATCACACCCGGTTCTTATGAATTATTTATCTTCAGACTTGCTAAGTGCTTTGAAGCAGAACTCTGTGGTTTATAAAAAATTCAGCACGGTCAGTCAGCCGTATTCATTTAATTTGCCTCGAGGTAATGGGCCAAGGATCGGTCACCTTAGTGGACCAGAGAGGTCAAGGGTGAACTTTTTTAGTGCTGCTTCATACCCACACGAGTGGTGACCATTGACAGTGGCACCATAAACGGAGCCTCCCAAAGCAATCTCTTAAATGCTCCATTGATCACTGAGGAAACTAAATTTGACTTGGCATCATTTGACACTGGGGACTGGGTTCCAATGGTCATGGAATGGTCCTGGGAAAGTCAGGGAAATTTGGGGAAAAAATAGGGTTTCCTGGACTCCTGTGGTCAGGGAAAAAAGTCGTGGAAAAAGTAATATAAATCTGGATCATGCAAGGGTTATTTTTGATGGGCGGCCATTGATGTGGCAACGAAAGGATGGATTTACATACAAGCTGTATGATTTGGCTTTGGTAGTTTTTCAGTTCATAATACCAAACAACTTATTTCTATAAAATGGTATTAAATTCTATGGAAATTTTCATATTTTAGCCCTAAAGAGTATTGGAAAAGTCACGGAATGTGGCTTTCAGATTTCTGCATGAACCCTGTGGAGCACTGCCTATATATTTGTATGCACAAGTTTCTATTTACTACGCCATGTTTTTAATTCCATACAGGATATTATACCGTTAAATGTTCATTGACATCCTTGAACATACAATATTGGGTTAGACCTTTCCTTTCCGTTTTTCTTCCTTTTTTTGTGTTTGCTGGGAGAAAGAATTTAAATTGCACAAAACATTCCCATTGCTTCACTACAGTTCACAAGTAGACATAGGCCTCTGGTTTGTCGCTTGGTTCCTAACTTGGTACTTGGTAGAAACTCTTCCGGAATTCTCCACTAGGGAGATTAACAAGGAGGCTCTCAGAAGAGTGGACACTAATTTGATTTCAGTGGGTTACTGCAGTGAAGTTGTTTGTAGTTATGACTAAAAACTCCTGACGAACTTAGGTGAATCAATGATGGTCTGATGACAGTTGTTCCGTATTTTAATAGTTTTGGAAACAAGGACTGTTCAAATACTAATGATGAAATATGGGTTCTTTGAAATTGTTTTCTGATGCCCCTCCGTAACCCCTTTGTTTTAGGTATCAAGATGTATCTAGTGTCTATGATGATGATTTGATGGCAAATTTTGAAGAAGGTTGTGATCTGATGGGTATCTCGTCTCAACTGGAGGGTGTCCCAGTTTAAAGTTGCCAGCATATCTGTTATAATACTGTTTCTTGAGTAATCTCCAGAAACAAATCTGGCAGCTTTCTGTTGAACCTTCTCATTAGATGATGTACTGTATGGTTCACTCTATATGGATTCCAAGCAGCAATACTTTATTCCAAATTTGGTCGTACAAGTGTCGGGTAAAGCTTCTCTTTAATGGATCTGGAGCACGTGGAAATTACGCATTATGACTAAACTCGACTGAAAATCAGTCCCAAGCAGTGGAATTCACATGATGATTTGGCTTCTTAATTGTTCTGTGCTCAGCGATCTTTTTCATGCAGGAAGTTATCTGTTGAAATATTGCTCAAAATCAGACAGGTTACATGTACATCGCAACAGTGGCATGAGATTTTAGTCAGTAAACCCAATTTGTATTCAGAAACAGTCTAGTAGAATGTTTCCTTGTCTTCATTTCAGAAAATTTCTTAACTGCCGTAATATGCACAACTGCCCCCTCTGTTGCCGAAAAGCTGTTAGTTTGAAGAAACATCATGACACCCTGCTCCAATGAGGCCATGCTCTGATCTACAGCATTCATTTTCACATAAATGCATGTGAATAGTACATGTATACTGAGAATTTGTGCACATTCAATTGTAAATTGGATTCTTACTATGTGGACTTTTTCTAGATGGCAAAGACCTTGATGTGTCTTTCACTTAGTTCATTTTTGCTCGTTCTCAACCAGCCAAACGGGACACTAGGATGGCCTTTCAGAAATGTTGTGCAGGAACAAAGAGCTCTGTAAAGACTTGTGGGTAACATTAAGAAGTGATTTATAAGCGGCCATGAAATATTGCTTTTAAAACTTAGTCTGTGCTCCATGTAGCCTCAAAGCAACTTTGATTGTAATATGAGATATAAACTGTGACTTTTCCCCCTGATTTCAGATCACGGTCGAAGATCTTGACGGTGACGGACACCTGGAGATGGTCGTCATGGATACTAGCTCTAATGTGATGTGCCTGGATGTGACTGGGAAGGAATTATGGGATAGCCAGATCTCTGGCTCATCCTCAGCAGGTTCCAGAGTTGCTGATATCAATCGAGATGGCAGCCTGGATATCGTCATAGCAACCAATGATGGGTAAGTTTTGGATTGTGTTGACTTTTCTGTGAAAATGGCAGATCAAATCTTGTGTTAATTGATAGCAACCCCTTGCATCCATTTGCTTGTTTCTGCGTCATCCAGACTTGGTAGAGACTACAGTTAGGATGAAGTAGACAACTTTGGAATGTAAATCTGATCAAGAGTTTAGTAGGTCTCACATCCTCAAGGTACATTCTGTAGTCTTCTTTGTTAGCAGATCTGTAGCTGTGTTTTGACACACAAAACTGACTGGCGCATTACTGGTGACAGGTGCATTCCCTGGGCTGTCATGAGCAAACATGGTTGTGCCTTCAGCTGCATGCGCATAAAGCCAAATAAAGAGAAATCCATGGCCATTTTCAAATCCCAATTTTCTTTAGACTTCAGGCTCATTTCAGGCTGTAGAATTTTAAAAATGTTGGAAAAAAATTCCAGGTGTGGAAATATAAAGTGGACATTTGATATGAAGTTTGGATTTTGCCACCTTTCCCTGGTCTTTGTTTCAGGCATATCTGGGTGCTACGAGGAGACACAGGCAAGTTGGTTGCTGGTTGGCCTTTAGATCTCGGTGGCAGGTTTCTAGCTAGTCCTGTCATCACCAGACTCAAGCCCTCACCTCACCCGCTCGATATTGTGAGTCCATGTGTTCCTGGTTTAGTAGAAAGCGAGTTTTGTAACTCCAGAATTGCTTCAGTTGAAGGTCAAACCAACCAGTTGTGTTTCCAGTTGCCTGACCCCACCTGGACAATCAAAGCAGAACCTGTATCTTTCATTAGACACCTTTTGCCAGTTTGCTATCCTGGTTGGCTGAACCAGTCCTACGGGGTTCACTAAAATAGGCTAGTGCAGAAAATTTGCACTATAAACAGTCCCAAATCCTCCGATTTCAATGTGATTTTACATACACTCTAGGGGGTTAGGATTAAGGCACTCTACTCAAAAGTATTGACTGACGAACACATAAGTACCTTTGAAAATGTGCTCCATCATTGCAAAGTATTAACTTAACACCTTCTCGCATTTATACATGAAGCTCGCTGTTTTCAGTAAGTTTCAGATACAAAGACATTTTGTTAGAAAATATAATGTTTCAATGGAAGGAAAATTTGTGTAAAATCTTTCTTCAAACCTTTTTCAAGCAAGCTCCTATATCCCGTTTTTAACTGCATTGGGATTTTTGTCAATCACCAGGTCATTGCAGACTACGAAGGTAGTCTTTACATTATATCTGGGGACGGTGCTTGCCTTGAGGTCATCCATCTCGAGGAGAACATCATGACCCCAGTATTAGCCGCTGATCTCTTACCCACGACCTCTGACCTGGAGCTGCTGATAGCCAGCAGCGACGGCACTTTGGTGTGCCTGAAGATGAGGAATGGAACAGAGAGCAGAGAAGGATCCGAGTCGGGGAAGAACAAGAGGGCGTGGTCAGGAGAGGCGTGGCACACTGACACGCCCACTTATAACAAGTTCACCAATTGGGACAATGAGGTGTGAAGGCACGACACTGTTAATGCAGAATCAATTGCTACCTAAATCTGCTACTTGAGCTCATGGTGTATTACAAAAACCTAAGTTTTCTTTGAGATCTTAGTTAGGTACCCCTGCTTTTCCTGTCTCCAGATTTTGCCTTCAGACATTGTCCTTCTTTGTCAGCCTTGGATGGAGACCTCTCACTATGAATCGTAAAGCACTAGATTGCGTTTCTTAATAAAAGATTATTGTTTGGAATTCAGAGTGCATTCAAGTGACAGCATCACCTGGGCCAACCATGTCATGTGTAAACTCTGGTTCATGCATGTATGACATGGATTACACAGGATGAATGTATGTGTAAACTTGTAAAGCCCTCACTTGGGCGGCAGGTCAAGCCGGCATCTGCCTCAACTTTGTCTGTGTTGACGTCACTTTGCTGCAGCCTGAAAGTACACACAGCTCTATGGGAACTGGCTATGACTACTCTGCCATAGACTCATGCGTAATTTCAGGCCACAGCCATGTAATTCGGACATAGCCCTTCTCTTTATCATAGGTTGAGGGTCATTCCTACTTGTGAACAGAACCCAAAAGTTGACCAGCTTTCTGTTGCCTGTATTCACAAAAGTCGGCCATCCTGAACCTGAAGCAAGGCAATTAATCTGTGTTACATTTGTCTGAAAAAATGTCTGGGAATGGTGACATTGAGGTGAATTGTAGATTACCATCCTTGTGCTCTGATGGTAATTCCAAATAATGAAGAAATGTCATGCTGCCCTTATTGTCCATATGAAAACGATTGTTCAAAATGAGGCTTTATCAATAAGTATAGCAAAATAGTCAGGCTTCTTCCCTTTACAGAGTGTTCAGAAAATGAAGTGATTCAGGAAGCATGACCCCAGATGGCAATGTTGTGAATACTGCCCATCCTGTAGGCATACCATTTTCTGATTTCATGTTGTCGTTCTGTCTGTATTCCCACAGGTTGGCGTTAGTTTCACAGCCAAGACAAAGCAATTAGAGTATGTAGCCGGAAAAACTTTTGTCATCGCATTTGAGATCTTCGACAACAGACCCAAGTACATCTCAGACTCCACATATCACGTGCACGTAAGTCCAAATCATCTGAAAAGCTGGAGATTTGACAAACTTTTCTTCCTTCTGAATTTCTTCCATAAGTTTGGCATCCCAGTTCTTGAAGTTTGTATGACTTAAAAGATCTTTAGTCCACTTTTGTTCACTGGAAAGTGTACAGATCTGACATACAGCAGACATACACCAGGTGGTTATTAATGATCAGACAAGTTATCTGATATTTTGGACGTTCCAAAGGCAAGAAGAACGACATTGGACATTACTGAGTGGAGATTCTATTGCCATTTTAAGATTTGTTACAAAGAAGTATCCATTCAGTTTTGTTCGTCTAGGTAGACGTTTTCGACAAGAATAAAATAAAATGTGAAACTTCCCAGTCTAGTGGCAGCTCAATAGCCCTATACACTGATGACGTTGTACAGTGTTCACTGCAGTGCATTGTGGGATAGAATGGGGGTTGTCAGTGCGGTGTAGTCAATTCCAAAGTACAATGAATGAACAGTGAACATACATGCAGTATGATGAACATAGAGCGCCAAGGGCACTGTCTCTTCGACAGGTGAACCTCTGACTAGTACAGGATTTGGGAACTTTGCTTTATTCTCATACCTGTGCCCTGAAAAACAAAGAAATGCAAGGAAAATACTCTCAGCACAAATAACAATGTGCATGCATTTGCACAGGTTGGCAAGAGATTAAACACAAACAATTCAAAAACATAAATATATGAATGAAAATTTGAAAGATCAAAAAAGTCAAACCGATGCATGGACAGGAAACATCGTAAAAGGTAAATGTGGTGAATCATCTCAAAAAGCTCTGAAGAATTGTAAGCATCACATACAGAACTTTGCTTTCCAGAAGATGAAGTGTCCTCAAACTGCCTGTGGGTCTAGAATACCGAAATCAGCTACCTAAAACAGGGAAAAAGGCATAGTTCCTAAATACACTGTAACCTTGCAGCACTACTGCAATACCAAATGAGGAAAAGCTAGTGCCAAATATGGAATCTACCTCATGAATATTCATAACATCTTGGAAAAAATGGCGAGTGCATGTGCTTAGGCAGGCCTTGGGTGCACACAAAAACTAAGTTCCTAACCTTGTATAACATTCAGTTATCATAGATATAAAAACATAAATGACCAAATATCCACTGTTTCTTGTCCAGAAAACAATATTGAACATTGCAACCATGTCACCTGAAAAATCGGCTTTGATACTCGGAAAATTTTAAAGCTCAAAATCAGGGAAAGTTTTTGCATGGCACAAGAAAATCATTGACGCGACAAGAAACATCATGGCGGCAAAGTATGGCGCCAAAATGTGACTGAAAATTGCGGCACAAATTCCTCATCAAATAACAAACTATGATCACTAACACAATTATAATGGAATCTTAAACTCACCAGTGGTGGTCTGGTGTAAGGCTCTTGGGACTGAGTGGTCACAACATGGTGGAAAAACGGGCACTAAAATGGGCTAAAACTTGGCATGACTGAACAATGGCGTAGCTTAAGCGAAAAACCACAAGGACCACAAGAGGGCGCTATACTACATTCAACTGCAACTCACAATGCCAAGGGCGAACATAACATGCAGACTAGCGGTGAGATATCTGTACTGATGATGCCGATCTTTGCTTTCATGCATGTTTTTCTGTGGTGCTCAGTGGACCGTCGGCCCCCACTGGCTTCATCGGACAGTAACCCGGTAAACAAAGTGTGACATCATCAGTGCATGTCTGTTGGAGGTGCCTGTTACTGATGTCTTCAACTGGGTCTAGGTTTTACTGGCCGCAAATAGACAAGTCCAGGGAGAGGCCATTGTCACGGAGCCATCACACTCATGCATGGGTTTGAACTTGAGCATGTACACCCATTTGGGCAAGTCACAACACCCCATTGGTCTGAGTGAATTTCAACACGCAAATACCACCTGTGTGCATACAGGATTGCTCTGCAGTAGTCACTAATTTTGGTCATTGGATTAGTCTAAAGGAAGGAAACTCAGCCATAGCTCCGTAAGAAACATTTTCCATCTAGCCTCACAATGCCTTTTGTTGTTGACATATACTGCACCACCCTCTTATGAGACAATTTATAAATACGAAGTATATTTGTCTTCTTTTGCAAAGCAGATAACATGTGGGAACATTATCTTGCTGCCTAAAACAATTCTCCTGGAACCTGGAATTCACCGAATGAGAATAGCCACACCTGATCGTCCAATCAGAGCAGTCGTCACTGTCCATGTGACCAACCAACATGGCCAATTGTTCAGAGACTCCTTCGCCGTAAGGTACAAATATTCATTCAAACTAAACACCAGTAAAGTTTTCTCTTAATTTTGGGTGAAACTGGAAGACAGGTTAATTAAGGGAGAATTCAATTGCAGATGTCTAGTGGCAAAACTATCCCATTCCATTTGAAAAAGGTTACCTCATAAATCTCTTCGCTTACCACTTGAAGACTGATTACAGGTGGTTAAGAGCTCTTTTAGCTGTGAAGCTCAGCTACCTGCATGCTAAGCTCATCCACATGGTTCACAGCTATAAGAAGTGGGCTGCATACAAGTTAATGTCATTTCAAAATCAGTTACAGGAGTTTTTTTTAAACACATTCATAAATACCTCAGATAGTCTCCCTATTCAACATCATTAAACTTTTAAAATGGCTCACGTTACTCAACGCTGATAATTCAATGGCATTAGTTCCATCCATTCTCCTATAAGACCGGCCAAGCACATATTTATTCCCTTAATCAAAGGAATATCTCTGTTGTCAGTATCTAACACTAATGAAGCATGTACCATATCAAATGTATCAACGTTTAAAAGAAAACTGAAGCCATCCACTGACCAGCATAACCATATGTGAACTGTCTCTACATGGTGAGATGAAAGTTGGAAATTGTCAATCCTCACTACAGTGAGGCTAAACCAGTGAGGTTAAAAGTGTCATCCATTTTTTTCTAGATGAGCCTTTTAGTACATTTTACTTTGAAATAAAAGTGAATCCTGTCATTACTGTTCTTCTTTGTTAAGCAAAAATTCCCACTCTCAGTGAAAAAAAATGTCTTGCTGGTATATACCCCAATTTATTCAAGCAGCAAAGGGACAAGAATCAACAAAATATGATAAAACCTCCAATGAAAGTGCATTTTGGTTCATCAGCAATGATTTAGTTGCCACGCCAACATAGTACAAAGCCTTTACCTCGACTGGAACAATTACCAAGGTACCAAGGCCTTTGCAGGCAATTACCTGGCAAAGAATTTATCAGCGAACCCTGATATAATTCAGTATTGACATTTTAATTATTGTTGTTTGCCCAACCTTCAGCCTGCACGTCCAAAGGCAGGGGGAAAAAGAATATCACCTTGGAAATATTTAGCCTGGGAAGCGATTCAAGCTTCTTTTTTTTTTTTTTTAATAATTGATGGTTTTTGAAACCTTAATTAGCCGGCTAGAAGTATTATTGTCGGAGAGAAACATGAAGGATATTATCAAACTTGCTCAAGCGTTCAGTCTAGGTGACATTGGAAATATTATGACAACATAAATCAATGTGGGAAGAACCTGACGTGAACGTAGGCATACTGTTCGCAAAAGGGGATATAGAAGGGGAAAAGGACACAGACATTTGTTTGGATAAATCCAAAAAAAAAACAGTGCTGTATTGTTCAACAAAATCTGAAGTTCACATTTATTCAGGGGTTTTAGGTGTAACATTCAATATCTGGATTGTCAAAAGCGATTCTCAGTTAATCCCACACATATGGAAAAGAAGTAAAAATGAGATGTTAGTGTCCATTTTTATTTGTGCTTATCATTTGAGAAGATTGATTGCTGGTACCGTATCATGTTATAATGAACAGTGCCTTGCCAAAAACTTGGTTGGAATAACATTATTTCCCTTTGGTTCCTAAACATTGCCAGTGGCGTAAGCCAGCGCTGGAAATTAGCGGGGGAGGGGGATGGGGTAAGGTGCCAGGTGGGGGACGGCTTGCCCTGCCTGGCCATGGAAATTTGGGGAGTGGCACCATATGACGTCATGTGGCTGATATTCATGATAGCGATGTACATCTGTACTCTGCATTCAGACAGGTGTATTTAAAGCCTCTTAAAAATTGCTTTTACAGTGGTGAGTAATACTAAATGCTTTTTATAAGTCTAACCAATTCTTTACAGTCGGCTTCAGGTTTTGGTCACCACAAAAAAGTGGGGGAATGCTTCAATAGTCCATCCCCCCTCACTTCAAAAAGTATATCCCCCCCAGATTTACGCCCATAAACATTGCAAAATCTACAGCACTAATACCAAACAATGATAACATGGAATTTTATTGACCAGTCAATGTTTATCAATGTTCTAGTGAGATACATTGCAGTTTCAAATACTCAATTTATATTTCTACGCATGATTGTCTCTTGGCTAAAGTTGTCCTTCATTTATTCCTTTACCCTGTTCCTCCCTTCTAAGAATCTTTTCCTTCTTTGCTCTCTGTTCCAGTTTCAACCTCCAGCTTGTCCAGGAACTCCAATGGCTGTTATTTGCTCCGTTTGTTGTCATGGTGATCCTATTACTTCTAGTTCATGGCTACCCAGAGGTTGACCTTTTACCTATGACTCAAAGCTTTAAACATAGGTGAAAATGTCTAGTTGCTTTTTTGGAGGTCTTTAAAGGTTATATAAGGTGACCAGTGTAGTTTTCTCTAACCTACTGGTTTCAATTTACAAGTAATCAATTTTTACCTTCAAATCTCTAAAGCCTTCTAATCTACCAGTAGGTTTTTGGAGGAGTTTAAGGATAGAGGAAGTTATATCCCAAACACTTTTCACTTTATATGGGTCTTGATGTCCCTTGACTATTACAGCAAAAATGTGGAGTAGATAAATTCGAGGGTTCAGCAAGGTTCCTTGTGAACATTCTACAGAGGGTTACTTACCTGTGTGTTCTGGTATTGTAGTTACTGAAGTAATTGATGGTATCACGATATTTTTAAACATTTCAGACTGAACAGCTGTTTGAAATATTTCAGATGCCTATTTTGATAAATTTACACAAATATTAGACCTTCTAAAGTGTAAGCTTATGAAGATTAAAAACCAAGAACAACCAAAGAGTAAAACATTTATTTAAGCAATATAATCTTCGGCATTCAAACTTGATTGTTCCTCAAATTATTATCCAAAAGAAAGTATTAGTTTGAAAAAAGATGTAAATTTTCTGAGCAATTTTCATATTTTCCCAGTTTTTATCCTATGGAAATTACATCACGCTAGAAAAAAATGATTACTGTGCAGTGACTGTGTCACGTGGCTGTTTTCTTGATGGATTTATCGTAAGAAGCCTCTAATTTAGTCCTTTTTTGATAATGAAATAATAAATATAGGTTAATAGTTTATTTTGGTAAAAGGAAATATTGGTAATCGATTTGAACAAGATTGATTCCTCAGTCTTGAGGCGGAGTCTTAAATCCCCGAAGGGACAGAAATCGTGTGGCTAAACATACAGCCCAAGCCCGCTAGTTTATCCCTGAAGGGAATTTACTTCTTCTACCCCCGAGGTCCATGTACTTCAGCATAGGATGCATTATTGAGAAGACCGGATCACTATCTGATGGACTTTCTAAATACCGGCGTAAATTGTCTGATGAATAATAGATTGTCGTGAGGGATTACCGCGGCTAAGTGTCCACACACGCCCAATCTGTGCAACGCGGGATAGCACATGAACTGATTTATTAATGGTTCGTAGGCGATACCGTTGCATGCTTCGACTCGCCATAACGATGTTTCTGACGTCTTTACATCTGTCTTTTTTTTCCCGCTACGGGAAATCTTCACACTTTGAACTTGTTTCCAGTGCCCAGTGTGTTTGTCTTGTTGAATTGGCGCAAAATGATTAAAATATGAAGGGGAGAAATTCATCTTGTGGCTTTTTGCGGGACTGTTAAGTGAGTCAAGTAGTTATCATGGAGTCGTCTAATTAGCGGAAAAAAATTGCTTTGCAGGTTGACACTGTGAACATTCTTAACATGCTAAACAAAATCTACACTGCATTTCACTTCAGTTGGTAACCTTTGCTTGCTTTTAGAGAAATTATTTTACCCAGCAAATGTCTGTACAAAGCTTATACCTGTTACTGCATCTAGGTGGTAGGCTCCCTGCTCTTCCCTTGCGCATAGCCCGATGACCAGAACTGTTATGCAAACCGTTCATTTGCAAAGCTTTTATTTAGCGCACAAATTTGTTCGTGCAGAAGAGTTTAAAAACAAGCTGCTTAATAAAAAACTTCCCAAAGTTTCCAAAGAGAATGTCGCAAGTCTGGTTTACAACGACAATACCCGAGACTGTTTCATTCGGCTTCAGCTAATTTTCGGCAGTTACGTCTGTTAAAACTGGCGGGAAATGAAATTAGATGCATTAGTTTTCGCATTTACGTGGGATGGGGGAATTTGAGTTCAAAATATACCAATGCATGTGAATAAGTTACATGTATATAACTGATTTGTGGAATTACTTACAATTTTATTTATGATTTCATCTGGAGTGCCTGACTACATTACGGTGGGCAGGTGTGTATTTAGCGAGTAAGGGTGTTGGGTGCAATATTCTTCTTTTCTAGTGTTCAACCTGTGTGACCCGAATCCCTCACATCGCAGGTCGACCCTTGGACTGGGTTTTCCCTAAACTTGGTTGTCTGAGGATTCCATGGATGGTAGAATATAGTTCTGGAGTTTCTCTGCGACTTTTTAAAATCGGGTATTTTCTTCATTATCTTCGGTTTATATGTGTGTTTTGCGGGTTACTTTCTGCCCTTGGTGGTTGGACGGTGGTTGTGCCCTTGCGAGGAGATCCGTGAAACGAATGAAAAGACTGACGCCTAGAATTTGGGCCGGAAGCTGTTGCCGAATCTAGGAGCAATCATGCATGATCATATGTTGAAGGCAATGTTGACGCTTGTTCCGTTGCTGCTGTTGCTGCTGGTTTAAATTCAAGACGTGATAAAGAGAAATATAAAGTGAACAATTTTGCTAAACGGTCGTGAGTGTGGACGGCTGTGGACACGAACACTTTGGGAAAATGTGACATTTCAGTGCTTTTATTCACCCAGAGGCGTTGCTCCCCCACGCCCCATACCCAAGTGGGTGTGTGTGTGTGTGTGTGTGTGTGTTGGGGGGGGGTATATCGGCAGGGGAAAAAAACACCTCAGTAGAACTCAAGTTAACGCTTTAAACAGTGGAAGAAGGAGCATGCCTCGCCACCTGTCCATCACCAATCTACCGCGAAATCACAACACTTATGGAAATATCTCAGGGGCTCGGTTTTTAGCACATCTGAGTTTATTTACCGCGATCAGGCGTCCGTCGTTGCAGCTAATTGAGGAGACATATTCCCGGCCGACATTCATTCAGGTTTGTTATGGGAGTGGATCGCGAATGTTCATAATGTCCATAATAACAGTCTCGACTCCGTCAGTGCTTTGTCCAGGACGGCTACTGTTCAAGTTATTATTTGCGAAATTATTCAAATGAGAGTAACATGAACACGCATACCCCATGGGTTCTCGGTGATGCTTATTTTAATGCCCCCTCCCGACAGCCACTTACATTTTGAGCGTGTTTGTCAGAAACATTCATGAGTCTATATGCATGTGGCCCGTGGATGTCTTGTGATTGGCGTGTGGAAAGATCTTCCTTACGTACTTCACCGAGTAGGCCTAGTCAGCAGTATTCTGGACCGAGATGTGAACTGACATCCTTAAAGGAGGAAGGGGGCTGTGAAAATAAATGTCTGGCACCATTATTAAGGGCAGGAACAGGCATCTAAGATGATGGCTTTTTCATTCAAGGCTCACACGTCATTTCCCTCGTAGATATGTCATATCAAGTGATCTGTGGTCATTCCATGAAGTTGGTACACAAATTGTGACGTACACATTGCGATGATGCATGAGGTGTCCCTCAGAGTAACTCATCTTGTGGTATTTTTATTGCTGGTTGCAGGCCTAACTCTTCCAAGTTCCAAATTGTTTCCGAAAAGTTGAACATTTTCAGCGGAAGCGCACTTCGGTTAAATTTGTTGAGTCCTTGTGACATTCCAAGAAATCTCTTAATAGTCGACGTTAAATATCACACTTTTTGAAATTTCTTGTCCATTAGCAATTTCCTCAGAATAACTCCAAGACTTTTGTTTAAATTTTCCAGCTACAAGTTCAGAACGGTGTACTTTTCTAATGTTACTTTATTCCTAAATTGACCGAACCAAATTGTTCCAATTCATAAGAATAGCCAGTATTTCTATGAAGGATATCTAGCTGGAAAAAAAATTATCTGGAAAGATCCTGGAACATCAGAAAGGGCCACCATTATCAAAAGTTAGGTTTCCTCTGAGGGACCCCTCATACCATCAGGGCCGTGTCGAGGTCTAGTGTCGGGAGGGAGAGGGAACGAAGCAAATGGAATTGATTCTCCACAAACGACCGCTCATTTTTTCTATTTATAAAACGAATCTTTAGTTTCCCTCCTCCCCAGGAAAGGTGGTACAGGAGGTCTACCGTTTACAGAATACTCTGGCTGTCGATTCCTAATGACAGAGGGAGACATAAAAAATGACAATACGACTCAGGAGCAAGATGCCCCCTCCTCTTCCCTGTCCCCTCCCCCACGCCTGATAGGCCACTGCCTACAGTAACAAATTTTCGTCCTACTTAATCGAATTTCTGACACCAATGTCTGTGCGCTTGCTTGGTTTGGTTTGTAGATCTTTTTTCTTTCGTGTTCAAGTATAACAAAGTGTCAAGCTTAAACCTTTTCATCTCTTTCCCGCTCCTAGTGTTGGCTTGTTTCGATTCAGAATAGGGACAGATTGTTCTGAATAACCCTTTCCAATGATGGAAAATCTCTGAAGTCGAAAAGGTGCTGCAATTCTAGTGAATTAAATTTAAATTTTGACAAAGCAAACCAAGTCAATTAATCCAAAAAGAATACACAACAAAAACGCACACACAAAAAAACACACAAATGTTTACGTTACATACCTACTGTGGACATTCCTTTGTTTTCGTGTAGTTAATAAACTCAGTGAAATACTCATTTTTCTTCAACCAGGAACAAGATTTTTGGCTGTTTGTTTTATACAAGGTTTCCTTGACTATTATGATGACCCCTACCCCAGAATGCCTCTAAACCCCTTTTCCAGAAAGGGGGAAACCTTGTGTGGGCATGTGCAAGTCCACACAACGCAATCGTACCCTGCATTATGTGGACTTCTTTTGTGCAGAGGTCCACACTATGTATGACACGCCTGTACACAAAAAACCAAAACAAACAAACAAACAACCCAACAAACAAACAAACAACAGCACTTCGCGACAAAACGAGAACTATCTGTCAGTTCAGTATTTTGTGACTTCTGAGTAGTTTTACTCTATACCCATGTACTCAATTAGCTTTGACGAGATCGAGCCACTGCACTTTTTGACACCACGTCATGTGCTTGCCATTTACAAAGTGTGAAGAGTGATTTATACTTATATACGCTAACGGCAATGTGAGACAAAAATGAGATGACGTCAAGAAACATTCACATCAAAATGTTGCTTGGGCTGAAAGGTCGGTGCTTTTATCTAGCGAATTTGGAGTGCGAATATTTTTGTCTCTGACGTCACACCCATCATTTGCATGGTGTAACGGGTTTCTTGTGTGGCAATTATTGACTTGGTACATGCAAGCAGGACAAAGGCACAGTTGTAAATGGCTCGGTAATAACGAATCCAACCCTATGAATTTAACATGTATGCAGCAGGGGCGTAGCTACGGGGTTGGGGGGCTGGGGGCCCCCCCACCACCACTAAAAAAAACCGAGATAAATGGTTGAATGGATACCGGTATTGAACAAGGCTAAAAAAAAACCCGACCCCCAAAAAAACCACACCACTGAAAACTGGTGCCCCCAATAAGATGCTGGTGCCCCGTTCTCTATTAGATTCCTAGCTGCGCTACTGGTATAAAGGTCAAGACAAAATAAGTAATTAGTCTTGCATTATGACTTTTGTGACGTATGACAGCAGACTTAAACATTTTAATATCAGATTTCACTTTTTGTACAAATAAATAATACCGTCAAACGGTCCAGAGCGTCGATTATTAAAAAATTGTAGGTCTGAGGAGTTTGATTTATGTTCCACTTTCACTATCCGCCTCTAGCAGAAGCGCCCCATCATCGGTTGAAAAGAGCCGCCCAGGTGGGGAGTGATCATTTTCTTGGTAGCGACGCGACCGTCACGTGTTCATTTCCTAGTCGTTTGTGAACCAGCGAAGTTCAGTTCCGACCAAGGATCCCCTGTTGCTCAGAAAATAACGCCCTCTGTTGGTCCAGCTCGCGGCCCGTACCCCCCAGGAAAGTAACAACTGTTAAAACTGCATGGAAACCGTAAGCTTTTTAATCTGTGTGCAGCGTTACTTCACCTTATTTTATGCCGTGGACTGGAACAGAAGACATTGTGAGAGCCAGCTCAGTCCTCAAACCGTCTTAGCATTATTGAAAAGATATGAACGGCACAATTTTAAACACACGAGACAGCATCCAGCCGCGCCCCGACGGCCTATTGTACCTGTCTTGTCACGTCTCCCTGCTGGTGGCATTTCCAAATAATCGCATTTGGGGATCAGACCGGCTTACGAGTACACCAATGCCAACCAGTCGTGTTCAGTAGACTACATGCATTCCATTAAATTAATTGCTCACGCCCTTTGCAGGGCGAGGATACAGATTTACCTGGCATGGCTAGATGTGACCAGGAGAAAAAGCCGCCATGCCCTCTCAAGCTTCAAGGAGGTGCGAAGTTGAGGGCAAAATGCTCATGTTGAGGTACCCATACACTTCAATATTGAGAAAGCTTACACCTTAGGGCTTTCAAAACGGATAACTATGTTTCTTGCATAAGGGCATTATCTTTTCGACCATTGACAATCTTAGCTGTGTCACTGTTAATCATTGAGCATACACTGTCCGAAACGTTGAAAACCCTCCGGTTCTTTTCAGAACCACACGTACTCACAAAAGAGATATCCTTGTATGGTGCTACCACTGCAATCCTCTATAGCTAACTTGCTACCGTCGCCATGAAAAGCTTCGAAGCTCATTCCTCACCTCAAGAACAAAAAAAAAAAAAAATAGCAAAGTGCGAATATTTTCAATTAATATAGAAAAAGTGAGACCGTTCTATGCGATAACTTGTCCCTCCCCTGGGTGTCACAGTCTGGCAATGCGTTGTAAAGGATAAGAATAAATAATTTCAATGTGTAGAAGGGAACTGAAGGCCGATGCCGGATGCATATAAACTCATTCGAAAGCTCACACCGAAATGCGAAAATGCATGCAAACAACTGTCTCAATGGGGGAATTGAGACCTCATTTAATAATTATCGTTCAGAATGTGAAGGAATGCTTCGATTTTCATAATCTTTGGAGGCAGTTTTTTTAAATTCCACCTTTTTTCCTTGGGAGATACTCCACGATGATCTAATTTCAAACTTTGAACTTTCAGCCTGGGTGTCAACCCCTGTAAACCAAGTATGTGCAGTATACAAGTACAGGCCTAAGCGGACGAATTGAACTATTATATCAAACAATTAATCAAGCTGTTGAAGCAAGACCTTCTGCTGCCCCCCCCAAAAAATTAATACAAAATAAAAATGGCTCGATTTAGCCAGCAGTAGTCTAGTCGTTGACAACACCGTCACACCGGGTACACCTTCACATGCTATATTTACTACTCTCAATCCACCCTGTGCCACAAGCTCACTTCACCTTCACTTCGATTTGCTCGAGTGACGTCACAACTTCAAGTACCTACGTCACAGGAGGGGTCAAGGCCCTGAGAGTAATCCCTCGTTTGAGGAATTTTTGAATACTCGATGATACACTCCCCGAGGCAGAAAACTGGGAAATGAATAATTCCGTCTAAGATTGGTGGGGTTGCCAATGATGAATACTTGACGAATGATACAGGTCCACTCGGCGCTCGCCATATCGCAGGCTTGGAAAATCCTATCATAATGGAGAGTGCGGAATGAAAAGGAAAGACTTAAAGTTACTAAAACGAAATTTCTACTGGAAGGAAAAGGTTTTCATTTTGTTATCTAAACTCACAAAAGCAATCAAATTCGAACAGGGGACCGACCTTTCTCGTTACAATTCGCTGCACGTGTCTCAAGGTCTGACAGTACAGTCTCATTCACTTTGATCGGGGAAAACATATGCCTACCCACCCGTACCCATAAAGTGGGTGGACAAACGCGCACCTGTAATACAGAATGTACATAAGCTTTGTATGATGAAAAATCCTCGAATTAAAGTGTAGATATTTCTAATACGGGTCCTTTCTCCACAGCTGTCTCAAGGTAAACACAGACGAATCGGTGTTTTCGTTCCTTTTCCCTTTTTTCAGTTCTCATTTTCGGTGCAAGCTGTGGGTTTTGCTAATGGTTAGCTCATAGTTAGGCCTATAGAGTGTCGTGAAAAATTCACATTGGCGCGACGAGAACAATGATCTTGTTATTTTTGTCCCCTCAAATTTTGAGCAGGGGGATTGGGAGGGCCTGGGGGAAGGGTGATGACAAGGAGGAGGTAGCCTGTGGGTCCCTTGCGAGCCTGGGGTAAGACACTGTTCCCCAGTAACTGACATATTTTGTTGTTTCACCCACCATCTGGCGTGTTATCATGAAATCAAGATTACCCAAGCGAGCCTATACAGACTTTTTCTTGTACATCGAGGCAACATTAATTGAATGATAACAAGTTTTCCCAGTTAGGTGAATGGAGACCATACTTTAAAAAAAGTCACGAAATTGAGGGTCCACTATAATTCCTCCTAAATTTGTTTATTGCGGATGCTTTTCTAATATAAATGCACACGTGGACTGGGAATCATTCCCAATTGCATATACTGGGTATGTCTCGATTTTAATCTTCTGTCCCATAATTACTCTAGGCTTCAGGGAAACCACCTTCCACCGGATTTTAAAAAATCATCACCACGACACCTGTTTCCTTGCGTGTCGCCATCCACTAAAAATGCCCTTGCTCAAGTTCTTTCGTCGAATATAGTCTTTCACAGTATTCGTTGCGACTCATTCCGTATCGCTCTGTGTGCGGGCTCCTGATACGACGGTTATTTCCATAGTCATCAAATCCGAAAGCTGCAGTGACGGAACCTACACTGCAGGAGGCCCAGTTAGTACAAACTATACACAAACATGCTCGAGCCACACGAGACCCGTCATCAATAATTGGGAGTGTTTTGATTGAATATTTCACGAAATGGTATGTTTCATTTTGGTCCAGGCTAGATCCTGCGGCTGGCACCGTCAGCAACAGCAGTATCTTGTCAAGATAAAAGAGAGCCAGACTAAGAAGAAACAGAAAAGCCACTGTTGATACTGATGTCATAATTTGAATTATAGCCAGTGCAGTGGTCAAATAAATCTAGTGCAATGGACAAGAGTATTTTTAGGCATTCATATTGCGCGAAATAATATTTTGATAATTGAGGTACCGTCAGTTGAAAGTTCATAAGAACAGCGTCAAATTATTGCATGGATTGGCATTTTGAATTTTTTTAATTCAGTATGATAGCCACAAAATCACCTTGTAGGGTTTATTCATGATACTGTCTAATTGCCTCGAGGATTGTGTAAAGGGGCGTACTGTACTGAAGATCCAAACACGGCCTCTCAGATTGGGAAACAACACGCAATATGTGGGCAGTTTGTTACCTTCGGCAAATGGATTAGTTTGTGTTCGTAAATCGTGTGTGTGCCCTCCCGCAAACAGGAGAATGTTGTAAGCGGAAATTTTTAACCTTACACGCAAGAAATCGATCTTACCGGTATAAAAAGGAACTAGAGGCTGGCCACCCACACCATTATTGCCGTTGGTTACGTATTTTGAGTACTGCTTTTTTTTGTCTGCTATCCGTGTGGCGCCATAGGCTTATCGTAATTATTCACAGTGCAGTGTTTTCTGGAACTATATTAAGCGAAAGTATCAATCCAAAAACTACAACTTAAATTGTTTCAAACGAGCAATAATAATAATTAAAAAGTTACACCACCTTAAAAGTGTCAGTACACCAGCTTATCTGTCTTTCGATATATTTGTCTCTTTATTTCTCTTTGTAGAATGTAAAGGGAAGTCACAATACACAACATCACTTTACATTAAAGCATGCACGTATTAGTTCGAGGGTCTCCCTTGCAATTTTGTCCGTTCTTCGTGCAGAATTAACGCCCACTTTGTTTGTTTCTGGCCTTGTTCAGTCGCTAGTACTTGGGCGGAACCATTCATTTAGGGCCCGGAGACCAAAATCACCTCCCGGTTTTCCTTGTATAGTGGATATATGTGTTATGTTATTATCATTGATAAAATGTTATAAGATAATCTGCTTCTAATAAATTAAAATATAATGACGTGCAGCTGACTAAACTAGTGGGAAAAAACTCTTTCTTTCTGAATAAGTTTCAAACGCCAAGGAGAATCATCGAAACCTCTACCTCCCGAAAAAAAAGTATGACCTATGGCGGTAGCATTTCTACATCTTCCAGCAACTGAATTTTGCAGAATTATCATTGTGTTCAAAGATTCAGAAACCCAACACACTGAAACAAAGATGTCTGGAGCTTTTTTTCGTAATAGAAATTAGTGGCCTCAACTGATAACTTAAGACCTCATGTCCCTCAAACGCACATTAGATCTCCCGCGACATCGATAGGACCCTATTGGTTATAAATATGTATTAGACTTTTTCATTTATAATAAAGGGGGATGTGGCATTACTTAACATAATAGCTTTTTTAAATAATAAATTTAGAGGAACATCGTTTTGTTTAGTAGATATAAAGACTATTAGTAATGTTTTGAGTAGGTATGCAGTATGGTTAAAAGAATTTAAGCGCAAAGAGTGGGAAAAAAAATACTAGGTACACCCCCGCGTAAATATAATCTGGCCCAATCGGTTTGACAGCCGTACGCGGTTAACGGTTTTCGGAGTATTACATACTGCATGCATGCTGTAGGCATATAGTCTGATGATGATGTAGGGACGTGATTGTGTCATCAACACGAATCTGTGGAGTTGTCACAAATCTCCTGCTTCTTTTTTTTTTCGATCTCCTTCAATACTCTGGTAACCATAAAGGTAAGTAAACACCCTTCTATATTCTCAGATTAGATGCTGGAAATTAGTAGTTAAATATGCAAGAAATACGTAAATTTGCGTGTTGAATACGGTACATGTACATGTACACTGTACGTCCGTGATTCCGACGGTGTGTGCGTCGACATGCAGCGTTTATGCTGTGCTACACTGAACAGCTGCATTGATGATCGGGACTGCATCCTACATTGGGGAGGGTGGAGAAATTTGCTTTACAACCGACATCTTTAAGTGTCTTGTCGTAATTGGAGAATAAAGCAGCGAACGAATGATGGTAATATCAAGCGAAATGAGTCCAGGGAGGAAGAAAAAAGTCTGTTACCGTCGAATGTTATCTTGTTATTTTTGGATCTGGATTTGTGACTCCGATAAAACGGGTATCCGCATCACATTGGATCATAATTTGAGGGGATTTTATTTTTAGTGAGGAAACAGTGTTCTATTCAGCACCAGATGAAATGTCGTCTTTTTAGAAATGAAATACCAACAAATATGTATATACAAGTCCTGAAATCTTGAATTCTCAGTAAGAGGTACTGACATCACTAATTTTCTTTTGCAATGAAAAGTCAAATTTAGTAGGGAAAAGATTGAAGCATTTACTCAGAAAGCCCTTAGCCTAAAATTCTTCAGAGCAAGCTGATGGGGTTGTGCACTGAGTGTCACAACTTGAAGTGTTGTAGTCAAGACTATCACAAGTCCCCACAAGACTGCAAGACCATCACAGGACCCCCACAAAACCATCACAAGATGCCACAAGACCATCACAAGACCATCACAAGACCACCTCAAGACCATAACAAGACTCTAAAAGACCGTCACAAGACCATCACAAGACCCCCACAAGACCATCACAAGATGCCACAAGACCATCGCAAGTCCCCACAAAACCATCACAAGACCAACACAAGACCCCCAGAAGACCATCAAAAGACCCCCCACAAGACCATCACAAGATGCCACAAGACCGTTCCTTTGTCACTGTTCACCCTGTTACTTGTGACTGGTCTTGTCCGTGGTCTTGTGTACCTGGTTTTACATGTACATGTATGTCTGGTCTTGTGACAGTCTTGACTACTACACTGGTCACAAGTGATAGAATTCTACATTTGGGAGCCCTGTGCAGACTGTGATTTAGAAAGACAACCATAAAGAACTAAGTTAGAAATTAAAGAAACTGCGTTATTTGAATTTTATTACTGTCTTCAAATCTATACCCAGTGATGTCTGAAGAAAACTGTTACAAAATTTCATCCGAGGACGCATGCTTGTTTTGAAGTCCGAGTCATGTGTGCTTCGTAAAATGAAGTACGTGTACACGGTACTTCATTTTATTACCAATGTTTTGTTGGCAAAGGATAGCCAGATGGTTTAATTCAGTGAGCAGTTTGTTCTAATTCTATGGCACTGGCAGTGATATTTGGTAATATACATGTACGTATGTAACCTGCATGCCTCTTGCAAAAGTCGGTCATGAACATGAGGCCAGATGGCAAATGCATTGTGCGTACATGTACTGTACCAACAGCAATTAAGTCAGATGCATGTAGACTCCTCATGGGAACTTAGTCTTGATTGAAGGCGTTATGTTAAGTTTGTTCCAAGAAAACATTTGCTCTTGGGAAAAGTCAAATCAGGTCGGATTTCTCAGTGGCCAAATCTGGTATAGTAGTTGACCATACCTAGAAGCTTATCAGGTAGTTTTTCAGTTTTACTCGTCTGGTTTAGATACGGCTTATTGGACAGCTCTCGGTGAGAAAAATCTGTAAAAGTTCATTTTGTGTGAAAAGCAGAATGGGTGAGCTAAAAGATACACTTTGATGGGCTACACCCATGATCATGTAAAGCTTCTCGCTTACAATATATCATCAAATATCCAACCGTTTCTGGTGAGTTTTGTTTCTTCAAACTTTGCCACTAATCAGTGGGAAATGCGAACATCTTCTTAGAAACTGCACAGTGCTCATATTCTTAAGGATGTCCAACTGACCAGTCAATAAAAAATTAGAATTGTATTAATTTCTGTATAAATGTGCCTTTGATACCTGATTTGAAATGCCATACCTTTGGTTTCTCTGAAATTGTCCCGAGGCATTTATACACATACATGTATAAGTTCAAAGAGGGTGATGTTTTCTGAGATCTGCGTTGAAGTTTGCATTCAGGTGATCAACTTACCTAATTGGTTCAACATTTAACCGCAATACTGGAAATTTGACTTGTGGTCAGGAAAAGCCTACATTGCCCCATTCTTCGATGTCAAAAGCAGCTTGTTTGTCGTAGGCTGTTTTCACAGTGTCTCCAAAATGTTGAGCCGGTAAGGATCTCTGGACAGTTTCTGTATCAGAAGGTGTCAGAATACGTGTGGGTGTTATAGAAAGCATCTGGAAGACGAAGAGACTTCAAAAGCTGTACTCTGGTCTCTTAGTATAGAAACACAAAAGATGCTATTCCAGAAACGAGATACTGGCACATGTACTGTGCTTAGATGTGCTGGTGGGTGTTAGGTCTTTATAGACTACGGATCAAGTTATTTGTCATACAGTCTGTGCTTCCAAGAGCTAGACTGTTTTTTCCCCTAGACATGTGCCAGAAGATAGGGCTTAAAAGTCAGATCTGGTGGTGGTCAATTCAATTCATTTTAATTCAGTTACATTTACTTTCTCTTTATGGCAAAATATTTAGTACTAACAATGTATATGAGAGAAATAGGTCACTAGAGGTGGCCACTTCAGGTTTCAAAGTAAACTAGGTTTTTAGAAAACATGTTTTTGGTATATTTACTGCTGGCTTGTATGTAGAAAGGCATAGCAGCATCATTGATAATGGTTCTTGGGCAGCACTTTCCACATTCAATTGCTCAATTTTGAACATCCATGGATCTTCAGTAACAGATCAATTATTTACAAAAGGAGGGGGGGTGCACAGTATTCATCCCCTCTGAATCATGGTCTTTATTTACCATGTGGTCGTGGGATTGATGTCACTGTGAACGGAGGTTGAATTTTGGAAGATACTTCCATACATTTTGAAAGATACATGTAAATTTTAATTTTTGGTTGAAGTTGAGGTATAACATACTGTAATTGACCCATGAACAACAAGCTCAATCCTGTGCAGGGTCTTGTTGATTTTTTTAATCTCCAGAGCAGAACTAAACTCGTGCGACTGCTGACCCTTTTTTCTTGGAAGTGGATGCTTAGAATGGTGAATGTTATGATGCAACAGTTCATAATATAGGGGCCTACAGTGTAGCATTTCATCAGGGCTTCATGGTGCCACCATCCTACCCAGGCCCCTAAATTGAAAGGAAAGGCTTGGCTGTGCAGCTGTTTACTGGTACTAAAGAGTTCACTTTTAGTCATTCTGAATTAAAGAGGACTGTTAAAGGGGACCAAGGGTAGGCTATGACTTGAGTTGCATTGAACAGGAACTGTAAACTAAGGGAAAATGCTAAGCATTTTTACTTTTTAGTTTGCTTGTTATTCCAATTTAAGCCACTTCTAGGAAAGAAATCATCTGAAACACAATAAATACTGAGTCTTGCCAGTGTTTGATGGAGAACCGTTAACAAACCAGAAAAAGTTAAATCTTACTCATGTGCATCATGACCATTCCTCGTCTAAAAGGGTCTTTTCCTTGGAAAGATACAAAACTGAATATTTCAAAATGTAATGTCATATTTTGCAATAGTTACCTCTACTGGTATAACGTATATCTGTTGGTTTAGGCATTTTGCACCTCATAATGATGCTCATGTATCAGGTACATTTAGTCCCAAGTGGGCTTGTTTATATGGTGCACGTAAACGTTCTAATGCACAGTTACTGTACTGTTCAATTCAGAGTGAGAAAGGTGCGGCGTGTTTCGGTCAGGCTCATATTGTGTTAGGCGACCGTCTTTACAAACACACATATTTTATTTAGAACTCGGGCAGGCGTGCACAAAACTTAATTAAGTACTGTGTACAGGGACTTATTGCCTCCCGGTTTTATGACAGAGCAGCCCAGTAACTGCCCACATATTGCAAGGTGCAAGAGCCAATCAGCTAGAACTGTGACTGTAAGGAGTGGAACATTTCACCAGCTGAACAGTCACTTGCAGTTTGATGATAGAGTTCTGTTATCTTTGGACCACTTGGAGTGCCTGTCAGCTGAGTGTCAGAGTTAAGTCTCGGGCAGATGTTGGAAGTCTGTGTAATGAACTTGCCGTCCTCTGCCAGAGGATGAAGAGTGGGAAGATCTCAGGCACACAAAAAAGATCTGCTTCCCATTACATGGCATCTGGAAAAGGGGAAGGTACTGTGAGTGGGGGGGGGGGCTGGGATACATTTCCTTACTGATTCAGTGTGCAGCTGGGTGTTAACTGGTTTTGTTTGGAAGGAAATGAACAGCACTTTAAAAAGGTTCTGCTTTTGGTTTGCAAAATACTGTGCATGGCCTTTCTTAGATGAACAAAATAAGTCTGTGGAACTTATTTGCACTACATTCATTCAGACTGAAAAGTACACTTTTCATTATTTCCGATTTCACATTTTCTCAAAAGTACCCCGGTATTTCTCACAAAACTTTAAGGGTTGCGCCATCAGTAGTGTTGGTTGGAAAACAGGAAACCGAAACATGTAAAACGGTTGGCCTTTTGAAAACTTTTGCTGAACATGTGAAAGTGGCTGTTGCTGAGTTACTGCCAACCAGTGAACCAGATTTACACAACATCAGATAAACCTCATTTCCTGATTGGTGGATTGTCTATCACATGTCAAAAGTCATTTGCTCCATTTACATGTACATGACACTCAGGCCCACCATAAAAAATACAATATCTTCAATTTCTGATCCTTGTGCCATAGAACATTCAGTCCCAGGTAGACATATCGGTGACATAAAATAAATGTCATACAAAGTCATGGACAATAACAATACACACGAAGCACCATTCCTTCATTTGATAGATGAAGGGAAGAAATTTCTGTACTTCTGCAT